TGCGGAAAGCATAGCTGCAAGCAAGCATGCCACCCTCTCTCCAGGCAGCCGAAGCAATGTCCCTTCTCGCCCGCCCAAGTCACGACATGTCCCTGCGGCGCCACACCCGTCGAGGGGCGTACCTCCTGCGAGGGTGCGTTTTGGTTGTTCCCTCCTCGTTCTCCTCCACAGGCGCGCGGGATGGTGCCCTTTGCTTACTCCCCCCACTCTCTCTCTGGCCTTCTCAGATGCAGTGCCGACGTGCGCGCGCACCTGCTCCCGTCTGCATCCCGGCTGCGGGCATGCCTGTCGCGAGGCATGTCATCACGGCCCCTGTGCGCCGTGCGCCGTGCCCACCACGTCGCCGTGTCGCTGCGGCGAGACCAAGCAGACACTGCCGTGCTGCGTGCGGCAGCGCGAGAGCCAGGGCGCCGAGGAGGAGGTTCTGTGCCAGACTCTGTGTCGCGCACTGAGACATTGCGGCAAACACGAGTGTCGGCGCGTGTGAGTTACAAAGGCTTGGCTTGAGGGGGGACTGTGTCGAATACTGCGTGAGAGAGAGAGGACGCTGACTTGCGCTGCGATCTGGGCGCCAGTTGCTGCCCACTCTACTTCCAAGCCAAGTCCAAGGCCAAACGCCGCCCCACCGCCGCCGAGCTGGAAGAGCAAGATCCGGCGCATCTGCACGCCTGCGACGTGCCGTGCCAAAAGCCGCTCTCGTGCGGCCTGCACAAGTGTCCCGTCGGCTGTCATCGCGGGCCGTGTGCGCCGTGTCTGCTGGCCTCCTTCGAGGAGATGAGCTGCCACTGCGGCAAGACGGTGCTGGAGCCGCCCGTGCCGTGCGGCACGCAGATACAGTGCAACTTCCCATGCACGCGCCCCTCGACTTGCCAGTATGGACATCCGAAACAGCAGGTGAGCCGCCCGTGTGAGACTGTTGAGCCGCCGGCACCATCATGCTGAGACTCGGCCCCCTGCGCCAGCACAACTGCCACGAGGAAGAGCCGTGTCCTCCGTGTGTCTACCTAGTCGAGAAGCCCTGTCAGGTGCGTTTGCTGTTTTTCTTCCGTCTCTCCGAGCATTTCTTCACTGCTGACCCCCCCCCTCCCCCGGCGCACAGTGCGCAAAGCACAATCTCGTGCAAAACGTGCCGTGCCATCGGCAGCGCGTCACATGCGGCGCCGTGTGTGGCGCGACGCTCGGCTGCGGCTACCATCGCTGTGGCGCCACTTGCCACGCGCCGGGCGAGTGTGCGCCGTGCACGCAGCCATGCGGCAAGCCTCGGCCGCGCTGTGGCCACCCTTGCACGCAGCCTTGCCATGCTCCTGCAGGTGAGTTTTCTCAGGCCAGACCAGCGTTGCCACCACGGGGCCCCCGCGCGCGGCTGACCCTCTGATGATACCTTTAGCCTGCCCAGAGACGGAGCCGTGTGTGGCAAACGTGACGCTCGAGTGTGCCTGCGGCAATCTGCAGCAGCGCGCGCGCTGTGGCGCCTCGCTGCACTCGCAGGCGAGCGAGCGCAAGCTGCGCTGCACCGACGCATGCGCCCTCGCGGCGCGCAATGCCAGCCTGGCCGTGGCGCTCGGGCTGAACCCGAGCGACCGGGCCGTGCGCGTCGAGTATGAGCCGTGGATGATCGAGTACTGCGTCGAGAACAAGAGGCTCGTCGCCGAGCTCGAGGGCATCTACACCGACCTGTGAGTGGTCCGCGCCGGTCCGGTCGTGCCTCGTCCCCCCCCCCCCCCCCGGCGCCGTTGCGCCCGGTGCCTTCCCACCCACTCCCGCGCTCGTGTGCAAAGCTGACCCGCTGTTCGCCCTTGCAGCATCCGCAGCTCGCGCCACGGCATTGTGCTGCCGCCGTCTGGACGCACACAGCGCGAGTTCGAGCAGGCGCTGGCGAAGATGTACAATTTGGGCAGCGAGGTGAGCTGCTGTGTGCCCCTGCACTTGCCGAGGGATAACCTCTCACACACACTTTGTGCGCTTGCCCTTAGTCACTCGACGGCCGCTCCGTCTCTCTGCGCCGGCAGCAGTTCAGCAAGATTCCCTCGCCAACACTGCAGGAGGCCGCCAGCAGCGCAACTCGCTCCTCGACACGCACGACGGCGCTGGGCCAGCTGCGGCGCGCCGAGGCGCTTGCGCCGCAAGCGCCGCTCAACGCCCTGCTGCTCGAGCGCGTCTTTGGGCACGATGCGGCGTCGCTGCAGACGCTGCTGCAGCGCAGCATCCACGTGCCCTTCACGCTGCGCTGGCTCGGCGACGAGGACGTGCTGATCTCTGCCGCCGACACGGCGCGCCTGCTCGCCTGTGGCGCAAGCGTCAAGCTCCTGGCGCGCGCCGAGCACTGTGCCGCGCACGTCGTCGCCGTCTCGCTCGACTCGGTCACGAAGCGCATCCTGCGCCGCGAGGATGCCTCGGCCAAGTCAGTGCCGGGCGCCCAGAGTCTCTCGCGAGGCACGTCGAGCTCCGGCACCACCACGCCCACCTCGCGCCCCGGCGGCTGGGCGGCCGCGGCTTCCGGCGCCGCCGCCGCCGCGGCTCCCGCGCCGGCGCGCCCGAGCGCCTGGGGCGCCCCGGCGCGCACAGCGACCGTGCTGCGCCAGCCCAACGGCACGGCCGCCTCCGTCGTGCACATCCCCGCCGTGCCGGCGCCGGCGGTGCCCGACGACTGGCAGGAAGAGTAGAAGGGCTAGCTGGCTAGCTAGAAGAAGCGACAAATGCGATTCTAGTTGCAGAGTGGCAAGTCATCAGCGGGCCTGCCACGTGATGCTGCCGTCGTCGAGAGGAGAAGAGAGGGACGAGGGGGGCCGACTCAGCGCCCGCGCGAGAGGTAGAGCATGCGGCGCATCGTCGAGGCACTCTGCGTCGACGTGCCGCTCTCGTCTTGCTGCTCGTCCGGCTGCATCAAGTCGTGGCGCGGACTGCACCGAGCATTGGGTCAGCCAAGACGACGAGCAGCCATGCATCCCGGGCCACTGCCACTCACGGCCGCGTAAAGTCGCGCGACATGCGCTGCGTGGCCGGGCTCGTGGAGATGGTGTTGCGCCTCGAGAGCGCGGCGCCAGGCGAGTCGTACGGCGCCGCCGCATCTGCTGCAGCAGCGGAAGCCAGGGCCATCGGCTCGCTGGCACGCGCATGCGCCCGGCTCAGCGAGTCGTCCTCGGCGCGCGAGATCGTCGCCGTGGCCGCGCTGACGGTGGGGAAGCTGAGCGTGGCGCGCTGCGGCGAGAGCGTCTCGGAGGGCCGCACCGTGCCTGCGGTGCTTTCGCGCTGCCGCCCAGTGCCGCCGTGCTCGGCAGCGTGCGAGGCGGCGTGGGCCAGCACCTCTGACGCCGCACGCGAGTGCGCGCGCGAGAGCGTCGAGCGCACGCGCGGCGGCACGTTGAGCGTCGGCGAGGCGGCCGCGAGCTTGAGGCCGGCGGGCGTGGGCGAGGCGTACGACGACGAAGACGCCGCGCTTGCATCGGTAAAGTGCCTTCGGTGGCGCTGCTCGGCCGCAGCTCGCACACTGGGACTGCTGGCGGCACCGCGGTCGCCGGCCGAGCTGTGGCTGTGTGCACTGCGCGCCTCGGACGTGCTGCTTGCCGTCGGACTGTGCTTGCCCGTGCGCGACGCCGGCGGCGCCTGGCGAGCATCGGCCTTGCTTTGCGGGCGCACTGGACTCGTATGCTGGCTGAGCGACATGCGGCTCAGCGGCCGCGACGACGACGTGACACTGCCGTTCTCGCTGACGCGGCGCATGCGGTCGCGCTCGCGCTCGGCGCGCGTAAAGGCGATGAGGCCGTCGCAGAGGCTGCGCAGCTGATCGTCGCTCTGCCTCAGCACCTGCGAGAGTGCCCGATCAATGTGCTCGAATGCCGCGGCGGCGCCAGTCGAACGTCCATGGGCGCTCTCTGCCAGCTCGGCATCGATCTGTGCCTGCACCACCTCCTGCACGACGGCGCGCAGATCCACGTTGATGCGCGTCGCTGCCGCCGTGACCTCGCGGAAGTGGCTCACCAGCTCGCTGCACTCCGCTCCTCGCGAGGGCGTCGAGGGCGTGGCAGGTCCGGCAAAGTGGCGATCAAAGATGCTAAATGCGTTCTGCAGGTTGCGCTCGTGCATCATGTTGTTGGCATCCGCCAGCTTTGCCGCAGAGGCCGAGGTGCTGCTCGAGGCAAAGCGTGCAGAGCTCGGCAGCACGGCAGACTGCGAGCCCAGCCGGCCAAGCGAGGCGTCTGGCGTGGCCGGTGCGCGCTCCGGAAAGTCGTTGGTCGTCGTGAAGCGTCTGAGCGGCAGCTCCGAGGCGCGGCTCTGCGAGCGAAGGCCCAGCTCCTCGTGGTTGCGCGGCGCCGCGCCTCGCACCGACTCGAAGCCGCGCTCCGTCACCGAGGGCCGTCGACGCTGCAGCGCGGCACTCTGGCGCGGCTCGGTGAACGACGCGCGCGAGGCGGCGCGGTCAGTGCCCAGCACGTCGTGCGTGCGCGTGCTGTACGTCGACGCAGGGCGCACCGAGGCGCGACTCGAGGCGCGCGAGTCGCTCCGCGGCGTACTCGTCATGGCCAAGTCGTTGATCTGCGAGCGCAGCTGAAAAGAGGGATGATCAGCAATGTGTGCATCAAGAGCACGTCTTGACCACACACCTCGTCCACGTCAGATCGCCTCTCCGTATTTGTGCCAACAGTGCGCATCTGTTCCTGCCTCTGCCTCAGCATCTGCAGACGTTCCGCCCGGTCCATCGACGGCGGCGCCTCGTCGAACACGTCTCTGCCGTGCACGAGGCGCGAGCTGGCGCGCGACGCGGTGCGCAGCAGCTCCGAGGCGCTGCCGCTGGAGCGCGCAGACGACGACGAGACTTTGCGCTGGCGAATGATTTCGCTGGGCGAGAGCGGCGGCAGCTCGGGCATCTCTTCGCGCGGACTGCGCGGCACCCCGGCGGCAGAGGCACTGTGCCGAGTGCGTGCCAGATGCCGCGAGGCAGACGAGCTGTCGACGGAGAGGCGACTGCTCTGGTTGCCCGCGCGTCCGTCGTAGTTGCCATTCGGCAACTCATTGGCGTCCGACGCATGGCGGCGTCGTCCGGCAAAGCTCGACGGCACGCGGCGACTGCCCAGGCCCGAGCTCGTCTCGAACGACAAGTCGTGGCTGCTCCTTCCTGCCGCGATGCTCTCGGTGCTCGTGTCCTGCTCTTCCGACGCACTCGTGATGGAGCTGCTGCGGAAGCGGTTCTGCAGGCTGGCCTGCCTCGCAGTGCTCGGCTGCTCACGAAACTCGAGCGGCAGCGGAGCGCGACGCGGCGAAATGCGCGACAGCGTCGCCGATGCTGCAAAGTTGGGCTGCCTCTCTCCCTCTGTCGGACTCGAGACGACCTCGTCGCTCCACTGCGACGCAAAGCGACCCGAGAAGCGTTCGGTGGATGCTTCGGAGCCAAGGCGTGGGCTAATGATGCGCCGTGCTGGGCCATAGTCGAGCGTCGAGCGCCGCGAGTCGCTGCGCACCCATTCTTCCGCCTGGCTCGTGGAGCTCTGCTGCCGCGCGTGCCGTGCCGCGCCCGCATTGCGACTGTTGGAGGAGCTGGCTGCAGAGCTCTTCTTGCGCGAGCGTCGACGCCCAGCTGCAGGGCCTGCACCTTCCGTGCCGGACGTGTCCGTCGCCGTGCTGCTCTCTGCGCCGCCTCTCGACTGCGCGGTGAGCGTGCCTCTTCGGCCAGGACTGGGCCTCGAAGCCAGCTGTCCGTTGGAAGCGCGACTGCCTTCCTCGTCCGACTCGTCGCCCCAGCGCCCCGCGCGCGACTCGGAGCGGATCTGCGTGATCTCCTGTTCGTGGCGCGCGCTTCTGCGCACGCGCTCGGCGCTGGCACGCCCGGCCGTGTGCGAGCCGTTCTGCGCCGCTGAGGGCGGGGCCCGCCGTGCGAATGCCTCATCGCGAGACTCGACGGTGCGCATCGTAGACGTCGAGCTGCGCCGACTGACATCGCCTCGGCCGAGCGACTGCGGCGGCGAGGCTGGCGGCGATATCTGGGCCAAAGCGTCAGTGGCCTTGCCGCAGAGGGAGCCACTCTCGGACTCACTTGCACATCAGCCACCTTCATGCGCCGCATGGAGCCCGAGCTGATCGACGTGCTGCCCGCCTCGCTGCGTCGCCCCGCAGATCCCGCCGAGCTCTGCGTCGCCGAGCGTGCCATGTCGGTGCGCAGGCGCGACGCCGCACGCGCACTGCCGCTGCCGCTGCTCGTCGTCTCGCTCTGCGGCGGCGTGGGCAGGTGTCCCTTGCGCGGCGTCAGGTCGTAGTCTGTGCTGCCTTCGTGCGAGGTGCCGAGGCGCTCGGCCTGCCCCGCCAGCGCGGGCTTGAGGCCGCCGCGCGCAGGCGTGCCGTCGCTGGTGAGAGCGCGCGGCGGCCGCGGCGGGCGCCTGGGCGTGAGCAGCGCGGAGCCGGACGAGCCGTCGCGGGCGAGTGCGGGCAGCGCAGATGACATGGCGAGCCGTGCTGCTGCTGCTCAGCAGCAAGGACACCGGCGGCGGAGGGCCGGCGCGCGTGTGCGCCTCTGCTGCGCGGCAGCGTGTGGAGGAGGCGCGACGAAGAGAAGAAAAGGCGCGCGAGGCGGAAGCGTGGAAAGGCGAGTAACAGGGAAGGCAAGGTGCGGTGCAGGCGGCAGACTAGAGGCAGGTGTGCGCAGCCATGGCCCGAGGTGCGCGAGGTGGAGATGAGAGGAGCGCAGGCGAGACAGTGTGATGGCGGCGAGCAGCAGAGAGTGACGCCGCGGCGGCGACAGAGAGAGGAGCGCGCGCGGCGCCGCCGAGACGAAGGCTCGCCTCGCCGCCGCCGCCTGCGCGCGGCCCGCCTTGCCCGCCCAGCCCAGCGGCCGCATCACCCAGCAGCCGCTCCCACGCTCTCGCCGCGCTGCTGCAAGCGACGCGACGCGCGACACCTCCTGACGCTGTCGCTCTCGCCGCCGCGGCTGTCGTGCTCTTGCCACGCGAGAGGATGAGATGCGAGCTGCTCTGGAGGATTGCACGAGACTGGGAGCCTGGCGCGATGCCTCGTCGCTGCGAGGTCATCCTTGCTCTAACGGCGCACTGCTGCAGCTCTACTGCACTGCGGCGCAAGATGAGCGCGACGGCCGCTCCCCTCACCCCCTGCACCGCTGGAGCGCTGGGTGCACGTGACGGGCTCTGCCGCCTCCCTCTCCCCCCACAGCGGCAGCGGTCAGGAGCTCGGGCTCTGCTCATCGCGGCGCAGCCGCGCGGCAGATGAAGATGCTCGGCAGTCTAGTCAGAGTCAGAGCGCCGATCGCCGCCCGCGCGAGAAGCTCATCTCGGGGGCCGCGGCGGCGGCGCACACGAGACGCAGCGCTGCAGCGAAGGTGTGCGTGCCTCGCAGCAGCGCCAAGCGAGCCCTGCGCCTCGCACGCTGCAGCGGCACCGGGGCACGGACGCTTGTCTCTGCCGGCACTCGACTCGCCTCTTTTGCTGGTGCTGGCGCTGCGGGGTGTGCGGCTGCGGTGCGCTCTCGCTTCCTCTTGGGTGCAAGGAGCTCCTGGCGGGCACGCGGCGTGCGGCGCCCATCGGGCGCTGCTGCATGCACGCTCTCGTCGCCGCCATCAGCATCGCCGCCCTCTCAGACCGCAGCCGGCGCCGAGATGAAGGCTGTATCAAAGGAGAGGCAATGTTGCAGCTCGAGGACGCGATGCGGATGCGGATGCGGGCGGCAGCATCATCAGCGCTCAGCCTGCAGATGAGACGCCTAGAGGGCGCGCGGAAGCGTGATGAGGGACGGCGCCGCCAGCCGCTCGGCGTGCAGTCGAGTGCAAGACGCAGCATCAGGCGCGGGGCCACCATCACGTTGAAGCTCTGAGCATGTCGCTGCGTTGTTGTAGCAGACCTTGAGCTTCCAGGCAAACGGCAGCCCACTCCTCGTCGTCGAGCGCAAGGGGGGGGGGGGGGGGGGGGGGGGGGGGGGGGGGGCAGGGAGAAGGGCTCGACGACGGCGCGGTCCTGCCGGCGGCGCGCCTGCATGCGGGAAGGGCGCGCTCGGCCCGCCTCCTGATGGCACGAGAGAGGCTGCTCTCGTGCCTGCCCCCTCTGTTGGTCTCGTCCCGTCGCGGGGTCCCGCCGCGTGCGTCGGCGCGCCTGCGCTGCGAGAGAGTCAGAGTCAGAGTGATGCTCTCTCTCTGCGCCCTCGCTGCCGCAGCACGCGGGGCAACGAAAGCATGCGGCAACGCCATGCTGCGGATGGATGGAGCGCAAAGCTTTTGAGGGATGCGTCTGGTAGGCAGCTGCACAGCTCAAGAGGCAGAGCGGGCGGCGCTGAAGGCAGAGCGAGCCGAGAGGCGAACCGCGCGGCACCGCAACCCAGGCGCGCAGCCGCGGCAGGCGCGCGCGGCGCGCCTCGGCGTCCTAGCGGCAGGCGGCACACCTGCACAGGCACGCCCTTGCCTTGCCTCGCCTGCGCCCTCTCTCACCACACTCACCACCACCACCCCTCTCTTCGCATCCAACGCACCCCCCACACTCACCTCTTCGCACCGACCGCTTCTCTCACCCCATCACCCACATCGGCCTTTCGTCACTTCGCACGTCTCTTCACGCTCTCTCTCACCCTTCCACGCTCTCTCGCCCGACGCTTTCTCTCTCGCCCACTCTCGCTCACGTCTCTCCCTCGCCCGCCTCTCTCACTCGCCCCTCACCCCATCGCTCGTCCTCAAGCCATGTTCGTCTCTCCCTCCTTCCTCCTCGGCCTTCTCTTCGCCGGCGCAGCCGTCGCCGCGCCCGCCAACGACGGCGCCGAGCTCGTGCCGCGTGCTCCCGGCGCCCTCTCCTGCCGCGCCATCGCTTCCGGTCCCTGGACGCTGGAGCGCGAGCGCCAGCAGCGCCAAGGCCTGTGGGTCAGCCCGCAGAAGACGCAGTCGTTCCGCCTCATCGGCGCCACCAACGGCGTGCGCGAGGGCCAGGACCTCACGTTCTATGCGTGCGACTCGCAGTGGATGGGCTTCAAGGAGGAGCAGAAGGATGGAGAGCAGGTGCTCTATGGCCAGCTGAGGACGCAGAAGGTATGTAATCCCTCGTCGTCTGTCCAAACCCCCCTTTGCACCTTCGTGCTGACCCGGAATCCTCCGCCAGGGCACCTGCGTGCACGCCATTCCTGCGACGAAGAGTGAGTGGTTGAGCAACGAGCGACGACGTCGTGAGGAAGAGAGGGAGAGTGGTGCTACGGGCCGACGTAGATGGGCCGCATGCCTTGCTTCTCCCGGCCGCACACACGAAAAATGTGTTAGTCGTGGTCTAGCGCGAGAGGGGGTTTTTACGCACATTGCCTAACCGCTGCTCCAGACGCCACCCACCCCACCCACATCTTTCTCACCATCGCACACAACTGCTAACTGCTTTGCCCCCCCTCGTCGTCGCGCGCGCACAGAGGCCAACGCGCTGCAGTTCGTCTCCAAGGCCTGCGCGGGGCGCGACGATGCCTCGTCCGAGGGCAGCTGGTGGCGCATGACGAAGAGCGAGTACAACGGCCTGTCGTACAAGAACAAGAACTACCGCCTGGCATACGTGACCAAGGCGCAGCCGCAGCTCTCCTACGACCTCCTGCGCTCCGGGCTGCTCTACGCCACAAGCAAGACGCAGTTCAGCAGCGGCACCATTCTGTACCGCGCCTTTGACGCCTAAGCCCTGTTGCGCTGCTTGCTCCTGGCCACGCGCTAGCCAAGCACACGTACGGAGGGTCCATGCGCGGCAGGTCCGCGACTCTCCCATCTGCGTCGAGACACCCTCAGCACTCTCTCCATCTCTTCTCTCGCTCCTCTCGGTCCCTCGCGCCTCTCGGTGCCGCTCTTTGCACCCCTCACCCAGCCCACCAGCCCACAGGCACACATTGTATCGCTTCCTCGGTCCTTCTTTTCTCGAACAGATGACGCTTCAGATGCCCTTGACGCCCACCTTCAGCACGCCGCGGTGCCGTGCCGGCCTGTCGCGGAGCACCCGCACGCGTCAGACCGAGTCACCAGGCTGCTGTGGCGCCGCGCCAGCGTCTGATGAAGTGGACGCAAGCAACGACGGCCGCTCGTGTGCTCTGAGCACTGCGTGAGTGAGAACGTGCAACACGCATGGCATGCACTTTCAGCCGGCCCCGCATGCCGCACGCCCTGCGCTACTGAGCGGCTGGCAGCGACGCAGCATGGCGCAGCGCTCCCGTCCACCTAGACGCGCCTTGATGCGCGCGCACGGTGCGCCGCAGCAACGTCGAGCACGCTGGCGCTCCGTGCGCACGAGCCTCGTTCCCGCCTGCGCCACTGCAGCGCCCTCTCTTGCTCTCCACCCCCACCACGCCCGGCAGTGCCCTCCATGTCAGCGCCCTCCGCCTCGCAGCGCCTCCGGCTGCACGGCGCCCTCTTCGGCGCGGCCGCCGGCGACGCCCTGGGCCTGTACACCGAGTTCATGGACCGCGCGTACGCCCGCCAAGTCTACGGCCACGCGCCGCGCTTCTCCCTGCTCGCGAACCGCACCGCGGCGCCGCCGCAGGTGAAGCAGGATCGCCATCGCATGCAGTTTCCCCTTTCGGGCTGGACCGATGGTCAGTCGCCTCCTCCTCGTCCCCCGCGCAGGGCTCAAAGCGAATGTGGAACTGACGCTCGCAGCACTGCGGCAGACATGGACCAGGTGCCTCGCTTGCCTCTTTCCCCTTTTGCTGCTGCGCCAGCAGGCTGACGAGTGGCGAGTGGCCCAATTGACAGACACTACTCATCCTCCTCTCCTTTCTCACGCACGGCGACATCGTGCCCTCGGACGTCGCGCATCGCTTCCTCATCTGGATCGAGCAAGGCCTTCTCCCTCTCGGTCCGTCTGGGCTCGCCCCTCTTGCCTTACTTATCCTTCGCTGAACTCGTGACCACAGATCGTCTGCCTCTCGACTACGGCATGACCTTCTCCTCCGTCGTCCGTTCTCTCGGCTACAAACGTGATCCGTCTGGCATCGCGCGCCGCAAGTGGGAGAGCGGCGGCCGGCGCAACGCGGCAAACGGCGCCGTGATGCGCACGAGTGTCGTCGGTGCTCTGCGCTTCGCCGACACGAGCGCGGCGATACGCGATGCAATTGCCCTCGCCCAGCTCACGCATGCCGATCCGCGCTGTCTCGTCTCGTGCGCCATTGTCAGCGCCCTCGTGGCGCACAGTGTGCGCGGCGAGCCGCAGCGCCTCGACGTCGAGGCCATCATGCAGCGCGCCGTGCGCGAGGCCGAGGCACAGCACGTGCAACTCGATGTGCCGACGCTGCAGGAGCTGCAGAGGCACACTGCCGCCGAGGTGACACTCGAGAGTCTGCAGCTCGACGACTCCTGGGCGATGGGCTACACTTTCAAGGTGCGTACGCCCCCCCCCCCCCTTCTGCTCAGTGACATGCTTGATTGACGCGTGCACCCGCCTTAGACCCTCGGCGCAGCGATCTGGGCCTTGCGCGAGCTTCTCCGTCTCGGCGTCAAGGCGGACAGCATCGAGACGATCCTCACGCGCCTCGTCATGCAGGCCGGCGACGCAGACACAAACGCCACCGTCGCCGGGGCGCTTCTGGGCGCGTATGCGGGCGTGCAGCATCTGCCGCGCGACTGGCTCGACGGGCTGCGCGACGGCGCATGGCTGCACGAGAAGGCAGAGCAGCTCTGTGCACGCCTGGATGCGAGCGTCGCGTTTGCCGCCACGCCGGATCTGCAGCTCGACGGCGGCAAGGCCTTCCTCACGAGCGAGCAGAGAGGGGAGAGAGAGAGGGCGCTGCAGGCACGGCTCGATCTGCTCTAGTTCCTTCGTAATCACATGTGATTTCAGCGCAGTGAGGCGGGTATGCAAGAGTTGGGAAGGGAGCCTACTGCGGCACAGGCACGTCCGCGAGCGTCGCCTTCGGCTCAAAGCCCACGACGGCATTGTCGTTTGCGTACTGCGAGTTGACGGCGATGTGGTAGTTGAGCCACGCGGGGAAGGCGGCTTGCGGCTTGCTCCAGTCCTTGCTTGCCGCCTCAATCTCCTCGAGGGGCCGCTGCGTGACGGCGAACGTGGCGCCCGTCTGCTTCTCGGCGTGCGCGACGAGCTCGGGGAACGACGTGGTGAAGCTCGAGACGCGCAGCACGCGCCCGGCGCCGTGGCTGGAGAGGGGCAGCTGCGTGGCGAGGAGCGTGAAGCGCGCAATGTCGGGCAGAGAAGTCGTCTCGAAGGACTTGGCACCCGAGGGCACGACGGCCTTGTGCGCGCGCACGTCGAAGCCGAACAGAGGGTTGATGAGCCAGGAGCTAAAGGCGCTGTTGACAATGGAGAGCCAGACAATGCCGGCCTGTGCGCAAGGAAAAGACAAGTCAGCAAAGGGCGTCCCGAAGGCAGCGGGCGATGGGGGGGGGGGGGGAGACTGACCTCCTCGATGGGCTTGCGCAGCGCAAGCTTTCCCTGCGCCACGGCCGAGTCTTTGATGGCCTCGGCTGCGTAGTCCAGGCCAAAGTCGCTGGGAATGTACAGCTGCGAAAGCGATGGAGATCAGCAGATGAACGAAGGGGCTCTCATGCCTCTGAACCGCCGACTCACCTGCACGCCAGCAGCCTTGGCCGCCTGAATCACGGGGCCCGCCTGCTGCTTGAGCGTCTCCTCCGAATGTCCCAGCGTGGAGATGATGACCTGCACGCCCTCGAGTGCCTTCTCGAGCGACGCTTCGCTCGAGTAGTCGACTTGAACAATCTTGGCGCCCTTTGCCTCGAACTCCTTCAGAGTGGCGCGCGAGGCCTGGGGGTGCACGCGCGTCTGTCAGCGTTGGCCGAGCCGCACAGGTGAAGCGACAACTCACGTCGCGAGTCAGAATGCGGAGCTTGTAGCCCAAAGCGAGAGCCTCAGTCGCGATGGGAGCGCCGAGATTGCCGAGGCCGAGGAGCGCGTAGGAGGTGAAGCCCGACATGGTCGACGGAGAGAAGTCTGGTTTGGTTGAGGTGAGGCGAGGAAGAGGCTTGTTTGCTGAGCGAGACGGGTTGATGTGGATGTCGAGCCAGCAGGCTTGAGGCGGCTCTTATATAGGCATGAGCTGCTCTCGAGCAGCGCCGAGGTCCATGCTCGACCGAGCCGCAATCGCGTCATGGCCCTCCGAGCACGCACCAGAGGAGCGCCCCCTGAGCGTGCGCGAGAGATGCGCACGGCCGCGCGACGACGGCCGCAAGGTACATAGCATCCCCGCACTGCTGCGGCGTCGGAAGGAAGCAGCCGGGCGTGCGTTCCATGCCATGATTGGCGCTCGGCATCGGAGCAAGGCGACGGCCGTATGGTTTCCGAAGGCTCGCCGGCGCGGAGATGAGGAGCGGAGAGGAGCGCGCACGGAATGGCAGCGCCGGCCTGCGCTAGGCGCATGGAGGGAGAGGCGCGGCGTGCTCCGGCGATTGGCCGGAGTTAAGCGCGTACCGCTCGCAGCGCTCGGCGCCTCCGCCATCTCGTCAGCGCATGAGCGCACGGCGTGCTGTCGGATGCACGCTCCCGTTCGGCATGAACAGAGGCTGCGTCGATGCGTCTAATGCGCGGCCCGATGTGACGCAAGGACGCCACGCAGAGAGGCCATGGGCTGCCTGGGCGGCTCGGCCGCAACACGAATGCGCCTTTTGCGCGCAGCGGCGGCAGCGAGCTCTGGAGCGCCGCAGCCCTTGCGCCGCCGAGCAGCTCTGTGTGCCGCAAGCCGCTCCATCAGCTCCCGCAGCGCAGCGGCTCGTAACCAGAACGCAGCCCAGACACGCGCCCGCGCTGGCGCACCCCTCAAATGGCCAAGCAATCCACTGGAGGCCGCTCCGTTGCTGCGGCGAGCCAGGTGGCTCTTCTCTGCCAGCAAGCGGCAGCTGGAGCACAAGAGGCAAGGACAAGGGCAGAGGCGCAAGCAGCCAGCGCAGAGCCATGCTTGACTTCAGCAAGCAGTTGAAAGTCCCGCAGCTTTCCATGCTAGACTTGCGCAGGCTGTTCATGCTGGTGCCGTTGATGGGCAGCACCTCAGGCAGACTCTCTTTTGCTCGCTGCCTGATGTGTGCGTGCCACTGGAGGATCCCGACGCAATGCGCCTGGAGAGCGCCATGTATTGAGGGCCCTCGGCGCTCTGCCAGCCATCGGTCCTGCTGCTACCTGGCAACGGCAGTGGCGGGTCTTTGCATGCCTCTCACCTGCCAGCCAGACCGCCGTCTTGTTGCTGCCAAGCAGCAGGCTGCTCCGGCTCGGCTTGCGCAGCCTGTACAGCTGCAGAATCTGTCAGTGCCCACACAGCATCTGATGCCTGTTCTCTTGTTACGCATTGTTGGCGCAGGCACCAGTCACGGTAGACGCCCACCCAGCAAGGCAGGACGCTGAAGACACGCCAGCTGCTGCGCACGGGCGCAGCAATGTGCAACCCAGAGTCGTGGACCACTCGCCCTTCCCGCTCGCTTCCTGCTCAAGTACCCCACGTCTGCAGGCCTTCTGCCGCATGTCCCGCGCCTGCAGAGCACGCATCACTCCACCACGCAGCTGTCATTCTGTGTAAGACGCGCCAGTCATTGCCTCGACGAAAATATGACGGAAAAGGGGGCCGGGGCAACAGCGAGCAAGCGGAACGGAACAGAAACCATCAGAGAGACCAAGAAGAGGAAAACGGAGACCCGAGAGAGAAGGCAGCAGTCTACTTGTGCCGTTGGTACGTGGCGACGACCATCGAGTGGTCGCGCTCGTACGGCTCCAGCGTGATCATCTCGCGCGGGCGGAAGCTCTGCGGGGGACAAGAGGGGGTGGTCAGCCAGGGCGTGGGCTTCTGCGTTCGCCGCGTGCTTCGGCAACTCACGCTCTCCTGCAGCTTCTTGACCTCGGCCGCAAACACGGCCTCCGGCACGGCCGTCGAGTCGATGCAGCTGGCCTTGATGGAGACGACGCAGTGGCCGCCGTCGCGCAGGAAGTGTGAGGAGTTGTACGCGACAATGCGCGCCTGGTCCGGCTGTGCCACGTCGGCAAAGACGCAGTCCACCATGCCCACGAGCATGCGGTACTTTTGCGGGTGACGCGCATCCTCGATGATGGCTGAGCGAAGGCGCTCGGGTCAGGAGGGGGCTCGGCGGTGCGTCTGCCGCGGCCACTCACGGATAACGTTGGTGCGCTTCTTGGCCATGTTGATCAGGTCACGGCCAGAGCGGTGGCTGAACTCGACGGCGTACACGGTGCCCTCCGGACCCACGACGTCGGCCACGTGGCTGACGGACGTGCCGCTGGCGGCGCCGAGGTAGAGCACCTTGCTGCCGGGCGCAATGTGGATGTGGTCCAGGCCGCCGAGCACACCGGCGGCCAGCTTGGAGCGGAACGGGTTCCACACGCGGTACTCGGTCTTCGTGGCGGCGCCGTCGGGCCCCGCGCCGGGCGTCTCGACGGAGATGCGCTTCTCGCCGTACACCGAGTCGCCGGGCACGAGGTTCTTCGTGACGAGCAGGTGCTCCTTGCCCTCGGCAATGAAGATGCCGGCGTGGCGATGCGGCTTGACCACGACGTTGGAGCCGCCGCGAGCGCCGCCGCGCGCGCCGCCACGGCCGCCCCGGGCACCGCGAGGCGCGCCACGGCCGCCACCACGGCCCGGCGGGCCGCCACGAGAGCCGCCGCGTCCGCCGCCTGGAGGGGAGGGAAGGCGATCAGCGACCCGCACAGCTTTCGCAGCAGGACATTCCCGACGTGCGCGCCAGCAGACGTCAGCAGCCCCTTGCAGCGAGGGCGCACAGGGCCGTCGTGGAAGAGAGCTGCTGCATGTCCACCTGCAGCCATCACAGCCCATGGCGTGGCAGGCGCTGGCAATGCGGATGCGCAGCTGCGGAGCAGCGCGCGCATCGACTTCCTTCTAATCCCTCTGCCCTTCAGTCAGCCTCTGCCAAACTCACCACGGCCACCACGGTCGCCGCCGAATCCACCGCGGCCTCCTCCACGGCCACCGCCGCGGCCGCCGCGGTCGCCGCCAAAGCCACCACGGCCGCCGCCACGGCCGCCGCGGTCGCCGCCGAAGCCTCCACGTCCACCACGGTCACCTGCGAGTGCGGAAGGAGCGTCAGCGGGCGCGCTGCCGCCTGCATGGACCGTCCACAGTGTGCGCACCGAAAGCCATTCTGGAAACGAAGTACGCTGCGGAGAGCGCGGAGCTGTGCGCCGAATGCACAGGAGAGGGGAGGAAGAGCTTCGCGATGAAAGCTCGGAGTGTGCGAAGAGGCCGCGTGTGCAGAGCGGGAGGGCGAGAGTGAGGGGCGAGAAGGATGCGACGCTGCATGGGAAGATTGGCCCTCGGCGCGGCCTCCAGCGAAATTGCATCGCGCGGCGGCGCGGCGGTCGCGGCGGCGGCGCCGCGCGCCTGCCTCTGGCGCTGCAGCAGCTGCAGCTCGGCCGAGGCTCAAAATCAAGGTCGTGTCACGTGATGCGGCCCATGCCCGCTCAGCGCTTCGACGAGGCCCAGAAGTGCGTGAGGGCACTTGACAGACGGGTCAGACGCGCTGTTGAGACGGAGAGGCCGTCAAGGGCAGCGGCACGGGGAAGCTCTGGAGGGGCTCTGGTGGAACACTGCCTCTATCAAGGTCCTTGGCACGGTGCAGCGTGCCAACAGCGCTCGGCACGGCTCCCCTGCCCCTTCTCTGCCACGAGAGATGTCTCAACCCTCAATTCAATGACGTGCACACCGTATCACGCCTACGTGCTGCCCGACGTGGCGCCCAGGCTGGCCTGCGCGCCCGCCGTGGCGGCCAGACGCGTGCGCCGGCGCTCCGCCTCGACCTCCTTCTCGGCCTCAATCTGCGCCACAACGGCCTCGACTTCGGCCAGCTCCAGATTCTGCGCGAGACAGCGAGCGTCAGATGAATGGCGCAATGGTGAGGGGTGGGTGAGAGAGTGGCACTCACCCGGACGCGCCCGTGGCCCTCCATGATGGCAATCTCGATGTCTGGCGCACGTCGGGCGTCAGCGCGTTTGGGGCTCGACGGCGGCAGTGCGACTCACTCTTCGCGCCCGTCTGCACGACCTCCAGCAAGCTCTTGACCGCCAGCTTCACCGTCGCGTCCTTGTCGAGCGCCTCGCTCCAGTTCTTCTCGAGAAACTCGCGCACCGTCTTTGAGCTGCGGCCGATGGCCACGGCCTTCCATGCCGAATACATGCCAGACGGCTCGGTCATGTAGAGATGAGGCACCGGGTCGTTGGCGTCGAAGCCGATGATGATGGTGCTGAGGCCGAATGGCCGCACGCCGCCCGACTGCGTGTAGCGCTAGTGGAGGGCATGCGTGAGCAGGAGAGGAAGAGTGAGGCATAGGCAGGGACACACCTGCTGGATGCCTGCAATGTGCCGTGTGATGTAGTCCACCGTCACTGGGTCCTCGACGGTGAGACGGTGACTTTGACACTCGATGCGTGCCTTGTCAATGAGGATGCGTGCGTCGGCGGTCAGGCCTGCGAGAGCAGAGGTCAGCTGAGTGAAGCGGCGACACCAGAACGGGCCTCAACGTCATGAGCTCTTGCGCCTGCCAGCACGGCCGCGCACAGCTACACAGGCAGGTACACGGCAAAGTGTAGCAGCTGAGCGGGCGAGCAAGCAGCACAGCGACCGCGGCGCGCTGCCTCGTTGCTGGCCCTACACGTGCGGACGCGCAGGGCCGCCGATCTGGAACCTGAGCGCTGGTGGTTGCAAAGGCGCCGCAAGGCTCTCGAGCGCACATCGACGAATGCTGGCGCAAAGGCGCCGCGAATGCAATGTCGCACGATCTCCAGCTGCTGGCGCGCGAGTGCAGTGTGCTGGCGTGCGGGCACCAGCCCGGCTTGGCCTCGCGTCTCGAGTCGCCAGCAGGGAGCGGTCGCGCAATGCTGGCTGCACGTGTCGCTGGCACATGCTAGGGGCCCTGCCACCGCCGCTGACCCCGCGCGCCCGTTCTGGCACCGCCGCACCGCCGCTGCTTCCCGCAGCGTCGCACTACTCACCGGCAAAGGCGAGACAGACGTGGTCGTCGAGCATGGCCGTCTTGCGGATGGTGCGTGCATCCTGCAGCTGCAGCACGCTCTTCTTCTCCACGCCCAGCACCACGACGTCCTTGCCGCGCACGCCGATGGCACATGTGCCCTTGCGCACGGCCTCGGCGGCGTAGTCGACCTGGAAGAGATGGCCTGGCGGGTGGGTGAGGCGTGAGCAGGGAGGCGAGAGGGAGAGGGCGAGACACACACCATCGGGCGAGAAGACGGTGAGCGCACGGTCGTAGGAGCGCGACATGGTGGCTGAGCGGCGCCGTGCAGGCAAGTGTTGCTGGAGAGAGAGGGAGGGCAGGCGGACGCGGGTGGGGCTGAGGAAGCAAGGTGAGTGAGCTCGAGGCTGCGTGGACCCAAGTCGCGCGAAGGCGTCTGTGCGCAGCCTGGGACGCGTCATGCGCGTGATCGGCCGAGGCGGCACTCGAGTCGACTGGCCGGCTGCCTGACTGCCGTGATGTTCCCGCGGCACACACTCCGGCCACCGAGCTCCTCTCGCCGCTTGCTGCTTGCACCTCGACCACCACCTGTGCTGCCCATCCTCCCTCTCAGCCCGAGACTACACAGACGGCGCCTTACTCCCAAGCACACCTCAGAGCAGCGCTGCACCTCTCCCAGCTGGCGCCCGCTGCGCAGCTCCAGCATGACCGCCACGACCGACGAGGTGCGCACAGCCCTTGCCTCCGGGCTCTGCCGCCGCCGCCGCTGATCCTTCTTCCCCAGGCTTTGGCGCTCTCGGCGATCCAGGTGCAGGTGCACCCGCTCGTGCTCCTCTCCGTCACCGACCATGCCTCGCGCTCGGCCACGGGCGCACGCAAGCGCGTGCTGGGCGTGCTGCTGGGGCAGGACAACGGCGCCAGCATCAACGTCGCCAACAGCTTTGCCGTGCCGTTCGAGGAGGACGAGGGAGGCGCAGACGGCGCAAAGAGCACGTGGTTCCTGGACCACGACTACATTGAGAGCATGATGGAGATGAGCAAGAAGGTCACGGGTGAGTGTGCTGCTTGGCAGGCGAGAAGAGAGGGTGGGGGTGCCGTGCGGCTTCGGGCGCGGGCGTGCTTAGCACAGAGCAAGGCTGTGGAGCTCCCGGTCGCGCGCGCTGTGCGTCCGGGGCGCACGCATCTCCGCGCTGGCGGTCTCTTACGCTCTGACACCGTCCCTTCGCAGCACGCGAGAAGATGGTCGGCTGGTACCACACGGGCCCGCGCCTGCGTGCCTCGGATCTGGAGATCAACGACCTCATGAAGCGCTTCATTCCAAGGCCCGTCATGGTCATTGTCGACCCGCGCTCGCGCGACACGGGCATACCCACCGACGCCTACTTTGCAGTGGAGGAGATCAAGGAGGTGAGTGGTGGGCAGTGAGCGTGATGCGCGAGGGAGGAGTGTGCAGGTCCGAGAGAGGCTCAGCAACGGGACTGGCGAGGCGCATGGCGGAGGCGAGAGGCTCGTCCCGGGCACTAAGCGAGAGCTCTCGCTGAGCCGGCGACTTGTCCCCTGGCGCCGGCGCAGCTCTGCGACTCAGCTGACGCCTGTGTGCTGCTATCCAGGACGGCACAGCGACGCAGAAGACCTTTACGCACGTGCCATCCTCCATTGTTGCAGAGGAGTCCGAGGAGATCGGCGTCGAGCACCTGTTGCGCGACATTCGCGACACGACGACGGTCGGCACGCTCTCGACGCGCGTCTCGGCGCAGCTCTCGTCGCTGCGCGGCCTGCAGTCTCGGCTCGTCGAGATCCGGGAATACCTCGAGCTTGTGGTCGCGGGCAAGCTCGTCGTGAATCATCAGATCATCTACAACCTGCAGGACATCTTCAATCTGCTGCCCGACATCGACAATGCCAACTCCGACGCCGCCATCAAGCAGAGCTTCAGCGTGGCGGTGAGTGTCTGCAGCGCTGTGGACGGGCAGTTGCGGCACCAGTCTGCTGACACCAGCACACACGCAGAACAACGACCAGATGCTCGTCGTGTACCTCTCGTCGCTGATCCGCGCCGTCATTGCGCTGCATGCGCTGGTGGACAATCGGGCAGAGAATGCGCGCGGCGAGGAGGAGGGCGAAGGCGCGGGAGGCGACAAGGAGAAGGAGGAGAAGGAGAAGGACAAGGGCGAGGCGGCTGCGGGCAAGGAGAAGAAGGAGGAGAAGAAGGAGAAGAAGTGAGGAGCGCCGCACGCGCACGACTGGCATAATGCGACCTTGCTTTCCCTCGGAGCGGCTGCGTCCCTCCGTCGCGCGTGTCCTTCGCCCGGGGTCCTCGTGCTGCTGCCGCCGCTGCGGGGCAGTACAAGCGTCTCTCTGAACGTCTGAGCTCGTTTCGTTGCCCTTGCTGCGGTGCAGGGGGTCCGTTGAGACTGCCGCTTCCGGCGACGCGGGACGCTGCTTCTTGCCCCTGGGCCGCAAAGGCCGCGCACACGGCAGCATGGCGGCGCCGCGCGGGCGTGGAGAGCTAAATGGCGCTCCAAGGGTGCGCGCCGCGCGAGCCCGCGTTCTCCTTACTACCACCACATCTCCAGCACAAGCCGCGGACATCATCAAGGAGGGCCATAGCGTCCGCTCTCGGGCCGCTTCCCTTGCGTCTCTGCCGCCTCTGCCACGTGCTCTCAGCTCGGGCGAGGTAGCGCGGCGGCGCGGCACCGGGCCGCGCGATGCGTGCCGGCTTCGCGCCGCTGGGCGTCGTGGATGCCGCCCTGGCGTGTCCGGCCGCCCGCAGCGCCCTCGCGTCGCTGCCTCATGTGCTCGTCGACGAGCAAGCTGGCTGCTGGCGCCTCTACATCGAGACGGAGGTGGATCTGCGCGGCTGTGCTGTGGTTGCGCACCTGCTCGACGTGCTCCGCACAGATGTGGGCGCGTGGCAAGGTCGGCTCCGCGAGCGCACGCGGCGCTTCTGGCAGCCCGAGTGCGCCACTTTCGGCGACATCTTCGATGCTCTGACGCCGCCGCAGAGCGCTCCAAGCCCGCAGCCGGCGGGGCTCAAGACGAGGCTCTTTGAGTATCAGCGGCGCGCCGTCAGCACCATGCTGCTGTACGAGCGCCGCACACAGCGGCTCGACGCGCTGCAGCTCGTCAACGTCGCGGGGCCTTGCGCGCCGCTGCTCTTCAACGCCGGCCTCGTGCGCTTCTGCAACGAGGGCAGCGTGCCGTGCCCAGAGCAGGCTCCCATGCGAGGGGGCATTCTCTGCGAAGAGATGGGCGTGGGCAAGACGCTCGAGATCCTTGCGCTGTGCCTGCTGTGAGTAAGGGCCGCTCTGCCCTCGCACTCGTGGCGCCGCGCTGACCCTTTTGGGAGCAGCACCAAAGACTCGATGCCGCTCGTACATCCCAGCATCAAGATCAACAGCGAGGCGATCATGCATCAAGACCGCCTGCCAACGCTGGCCGAGCACTGCGCTCACGTCCTGCAGGGCAGCCTCCCCGCCGACGCCGAGCTGTCGCCAGCGCAGGCGGCGCGGATGGCTGCGCTTCTGCGCGCCGGCCGGCCTTTCTACGAGTATCAGCATGAACGAGGGCTGCACCAGGCGCGTCATCACCGCAGAGAGTACAGCTGGCGCGTGCGCCTCTCGTGCGCAACGCTCGTCGTCGTGCCGAGGAATCTTGCGCCACAGTGGCGCGCGGAGCTAGAGACGCACGTCAACAGTGGTGCTCTTCGCGCCCTCTTTCTGCTCGACGACAACGCAGTGCTCGACGTCGAGCAGCTAGTCGAACATGACCTGGTCGTCATGAGTGACGCTCGTCTTGCTCTCGAGTCGCGCAAGCTGCTCAATCCGCCTGTCGTGGTGCGGCCGCGCAAGTGCGAGTGCCGCTACGCCGGTGCCAGCCGTACAGTGGTCTGCACTTGTCCGCCGCTCAAGGAGCCCGAGATCAGCGCGCTGCTGCGTGTGCACTTTCGCCGGCTCGTCGTCGACGAGGGCGACACGCTGCGCGGCAAGTCTCGCATCGTCGCCGTGGCGCGCGCCATCTCTGCCGACAGTCGCTGGATCGTGTCGGGCACTCCGACAACGCTGCTCTCCGGCGGCGCCGATGTCTCGCGTCTAGTCGGCGAGGCGCATGAACACGAGGAGCTTGAAGCACAGCAGTGCGATGGTGCACTGAGCAGCGCAGAGAAGAACGACCTCTCCGTCCTTGGACATCTCTTCGACTTTCTCTACGGTCCCTCGGACCACTGGTCAGCGGCTGTTGACAGCCCACTGCGGCTCGGCGAGCCTTTAGCTAGACAGCGCTTTGCAGATGCGCTGGCGGAGCGGATGGTGCGCAACCCACTCGCCGTCGTCGAGGCTGAGAACGCTCCGCCGCGCGTCGTGCAGCAGGAGCTGCAGGTCGTCCTGCCTGGTGAGGCTGATCATGCCCATCATACCTCGGCTGCAGGCTCACGGGCACTCGCAATGACAGAACATCAACGTAAGACGTACAATGCTTTGATGGCGCTGGTTCAGCTCAACGCCGTGCTCTCGCGCCGCACGGTGAGAGAGATGGGGCTGGTGTGCTGAGCAGAGGCACTGACCGAGCCTCTTCGCTCTTCAGGGCAGCAACTATCTGTTCCATAAGGTGCGCGAAGACGCAAGCGAGGGCGAAACCGTTGCTCATACACCTTCCATCCTACAGGAGAACACGGTGCACCTCGCCTCCATCCTGCACAACATGGCCCTCGCTGCCTTCTTCCTCTCTCCGACGGCCACGAGCGAAGGAGGCTCAAAGAGTTCGAACCTGCTCTCGCAAGCGGCTTCGGCGCGCGAGACGATGCTGGAAGAGCTGCAGATGGAGAAGCGAGAGTGGAGCGACGAGGAGCGCGCCATGGCGCAAGAGGCGGATGCACAGCTACACGAGGCGCTGCGGGACGTCGACGCATGGTCAAGACAGGGCGACACTGCTCGCCTGGGCGTGTGCGGCCTGCCCGCGCAGCTTTGCGAGCTCGCGTCGGCCCACTCAGCGGCGTCTGTCGCTGCGGACGTGCAGCTGGCGCCGTCGCTGATCCAACTGCTGCAAATCGCAGCGTACCGCTCCGTCCGCGAGCAGGAGGCACGTGGCAGCGGCGGCGTTGACGAGGAGGAGATGCTTGAAGAGATGACGACACTGGCCGCCAAGGCCGCGCATGGCACGCTGGCACGCATCGAGGAGAAGCCTCGGGCACTGCCGGCGGGGAGCGTGCTTCGAGATGCGTGCATCGTCTCCTCAACATCGGCAAAGCTGGCGCACGTGCTCAACCTCGTCCGGCACGCCCTCGGCTGCGGCGACAAGATCATAGTCTTCAGCGACATGACGAGCGTGCTGAGCAAGATCTCTGCGGCATTTGGCGCGTGCCATATTGAGCATGCACTCTATACGCCTGGTCAGTCCGTCGACACACGCGCACAAGCAATCTCGCTCTTCTGCAACGACGCCTCGACGGGCGTGCTGCTGATGAAGACCAGCATGGGAGCTCGAGGTCTCACGCTGACCGCCGCCAACCGCTCCGTCTTTGTTGAGCCGGTGCTTGACGCCGCAGTACGCAAGCAGGCGCTCAAGCGTACATGGCGCGTAGGGCAGAGGAAGGATGTCTACGTGACAACGCTCATTGCCCAAGGCACGCACGAGCTGACAGTCATGCGGCGCGGCGATACACTGCTCGATGAGGCGCGGCAAGGAGCAGTCTCAAGACTGGCAGAGGACGAGACGCTGCGAGCGTATCTGCGCAACCCGCAGTACGTCTCGCAGGCGGCCGCAGCGGCAAACACAGCCATAGCGACGCCCATCCCTCTCTTCCCCATATCTCCTCCATCGCCGCTCCCTCTCGCATCCCAGCCATCTCTTCCCGCCGCCCAGCCGCTGCCTGTCAGCGCCGTCGGCACCAGGCGCGCGGCCGACAGTCTCGACGAGCGGCGCTCCAAGAAGCTGCGCGTCGCTTTCGACTAGCCCGCCTCTCGTGCTTGTTTTCACATCTTCGCTGCATTAACTACCGACCCTTCCGACGTCGCAGTGCGCGCTTGAGCGGCTCGATGGCCAGGCGTGCAAAGGGCCCGGCGAGCGCGATGCATGCTGCGATGCGCAGTGGGAAGAGTGCCTTCGCGTGCTCAGTCAGCACCGACACCGCGTCGTCGGCTTGCGAGGCGCAGCAACTCACCTTGACGATGGCATACGCCGCCACTGCATCTGCAAAGCTTCCCGCCAGCACGGCGCCCGCCTCTTGTCCCGTGCTCCACTCGCCCGTCGCCTCGCTGCCCTTTTCGAAGCCAAACCATCCCTTTCTCCTCCCGTAGCGTTCCGCTCTCGCTGCTCCCTCATCGACCCACTGCCTCACTTTTGCCTGCACGCTCGACGTCTCCTCGCTGCTCGGCGGTAGAAGCCACGCGAGCACCGCCGACCCTGCGCCGAGGCTCGAGAGGATCCAAAAGACGACGAAGAGCGGCAAGATGGCGCTCAGCTCGTGCAGGAGCGCGAAACTGAGCACCATGCTTGAGGGATCCGTGCCGCTGCGAGCTGCGGCAGCGCGCACGCGAGCTACGCTGCGCTCCCAGACGGAACGCCGAGTCTCTGGCGGTGGCGGAGGAGGTGCAGTCGAAGTCGAATACTGCCGACTTTGGTGGCCGCTGCCGCCGAGGCTTATTCTTGTTGTGGACGCGCCGCCTTGCGCCGACACGTGCCCAGCCTCATCGAAAGACAGCCACTCCACGTCGCGCTCATTGCCAATCCAATGCCGTCGCAGCACCTCTGGCACGCGCGGCTGTCCTGCGGCATTGAAGCCATGCGTCTCGATCATGGCCACGAGCAACCTCGGAATCGCTGCAGCGGTGGCGTTGAGCGTGTGCGCCCAGCCAAAGGCGCGCTTGGTCAAGCCCTCGGCTCGTGTGGAGATGCGACGGGATTGGAAGTCGGTGCAGTTTGAGGCGGAACAGACCTGCACGACGAGAGGAGGGTGGTCAGCGATGCAGATGAGAGGAAGAGCACTGAGACAGCTTACTTCGCCCCAGGTGCCACGCCCCGGCATCCACACCTCAACGTCGTACTTGCGAAACGCGCTGGCGCCGAGCTCCTCGGTCGGCATATCGAGCACGCTTGAGTCGGGAGTGCGGGCGGGGCATACGTGAGCTCCAGTCTGGGGCTTCCACACTCTCCATCTCTCATGCCCACTCACCGCCAGCAAAGGCCCAGCGGCTTCAAGATCTCCACCTGCAGATCCACCAGCTTCTCGAGCCATTTGCCGCTGTCCTCGGCTCTGCACACCACAAACAGTTCCGCTTTGCTGAACTGATGCACTCTATAAAGCCCTCTACTTTCTCGCCCTCTCGCTCCCGCCTCGGCTCGAAAGGAATGACTGAGCGCCACTTCGAAGATCGGCAGGTCCTCTTTGGCATATGTGCGATTGGCGTGCATGGCCAGCAGCGGCAATTCGGCGGTGCCGGCGAGAGAGAGCCCAAGGTCGTTGAAAGCAGCAGAGAGCGTATAGACTTGCGCCGCGTCGTCTTCCCTTGGTGCGAAGCCGCTCAAAGCAACGAGAGAGCTGGGCACAACATCCGGCACGAGGCGCAGCTGTGCGCCTTTGGCACGCGCCCGTCTCAATGCGTAGTTTTCGAGCGCGAGTGCCAGGCTGGCGAGCGGCTCGCCGAAATGAGGGAAGCCGGAAGCGGAGACGTGCTGTGCAGCCGGCGTCGGCAATGCAGCGGGCGCATACTTGGCGAGCAGATCGACGTGGTCGCGCGTCGCATCTGCCTCGACGCCCTCAAAGGCGGCCACGCCGGCTGCCGGTGCGTCCTGCCACGCAGCGTGCCATTGTGGCGGCAATGCGTTTGTCGGGCCTCCATGTCGCACGATACGCGCTTGGGACTCATCGCCCACCGGCGTCTCTCGCGACGTCTCGTTTGGCAGGCGCATGCGCAGCGCCAAGGCTTGGCGCTCCAGCCCTTCCCTCTCCATCTCCAGCTCTCGCGTCCGTGTTCTCGCTGTGCCCGCCTCCTCTTTGATGTGCGCGGCCACCTCCCTGCCCTGCTTCATCGCCACGCGCACCGCCTCTCCCGCCGCTTTCGCCGCGTCCCTCGAGGCGCGCAGCTCCGTGTCGGCCGCAGCATAGCGCTCTCGTAAGGCGCCGAGCACGAGTGCGTCTTTGGGAGTGAACGGCGCGGCGCGCTTGCGCGCATTCGTGAGCGCCGCTTGCAGACTGTCGGGCTTCCACGTCCACATGGGCTGCGGCGCAGGCAGGACCGTCGGCGGCTTCCTGCTTGCTGCGCTGGCGGCGGCGAAGCGCGAGGCAGTGGAGCTGAGTGTGCGCCGAGAGAGGGCGAGGCTGGAGCGCTTGGGCCGCGCCGAGGAGCTGGCGAGCTCGGGGAGGCGCGGCATTGCGGGCAGCGCGCGATGCAGGCTGCGAGCGCAAGCGCAGAGAGGCGATGCGAGATGGGAGTGGAGTGGTGGGAGGGAAGGAGCTCAGAAGCGAGGAGCGCGGCTGCGCTCGAGAGAGCCAGAGTGGAGCTGGCCCATGGTGAGCATCGTGCCCGAGTGCCGAGAGTGCATCACGTGGCGCTGCTGCATGCGCGCCGCTGCGCTGCAAAAGTGCTCTTCGCGTCGTGTCCTCTCGCCCGCGCTTCCTTCTCAACCACATCCCCTTTCCTCGCCCTGTCCCTCCTCTCGTCAATTGCATGTAGTTCCCCTTCCTCTCGTCTGTCCGTCGTCTTCGTCCCTCGTCTTCTCTCTCTCTGTGCTCCTGCACTCCTCTCCGTCTCTCGCACAAAGCGCCGGTCGATGATGATCCAAACAGAGTCAAGCACGGCAACATGGCACGGACAGGCCCTACGTGGCGTTCCGTCGCTAACTGGTCGACATATTCATTCAACCCTCTGAGACCTGGTGCCTTTGCGCGAGAGGAGAAGAGAGCAGAGGGCGATGAGCGAGGCGAGGCGAGGCGAGACGAGACGACGACACTCTAGACAGACCCCAACCTGAATGCCACACCTGCCATGCCTTCTCTGTGCTTGCTCTTGACGGGCAGCTCTGGTGCTCCTTGAGGCTGCTGTGAGACTGCTGTCCTCAGACTCTGACTGGGAGAGAGCACGCCGCAGCGAGGCGCGCGCGCAGGCCTGCAAAGGAGCAGGGCTGCCGCGCAACGCGCACCAAGCAACCAACACCCGACGCTGGTGCGCTTCACTTCCCACCTCGACCTACGGCCCTCGTCACTCCAGCGCAACGGGCATGCACCACCTCGCCCTGCCCCTCTCGCTCTTCGGCGTCGGCCTGGCCGTGGGCGCGGGCGGCGCTGCCCTGCTCGCGCCCTCTCCGGCCAAGGTGCCGCCGCAAGGGCAGGCGCAGCGCAGGAGGGACGAGCTTGCGCTGCCGGCACGGCCACTCGCTGCGCCGGCGCAGCCTGCTACGCCGGGCCTGAGTGACGTCGAGACGGCACGAGTGAGGGAGATTCTGGGGCACAGTGGGCATCCCGGTGAGTGGAGGAGACGAGCTGCGCCGAACCACGTAGGGGCGGGCTACATGGGCGCCCAGCCAGCCGAGAGAGAAGCGACGCTTCGCCGGGTGGAACGGGCGAGGAGGCTGGCGCACACCTGGCCAGCGCACGGCTCGACGGGAGCCTGCGCAAACGACGTGATGAATGAGCTCGTCCGGATCCGCTTTTCTTCTGCGGCCTGGGCCTCGCCATGCTTGGATGCTGTGCATTCGGTGCGGCAGGCCAGGTGCAGCTGCGTTGCTGACGCTCGCTCGCTGTCGGCGCTCTTCTCTCAGGGCCCATCTTCGACCAGCTCTCGCACCTCGCCTTCGTCTCTGCGTACGATCGCCGCCTGCGGCATCCCGCCTGGACGGCCGAGCATCTCACCGCCTCCTCGCTCGTCCGGCCACCCGCTACGCCGGGCAGTGGGCCCGTCGATCGCTCCAACTCGGTCTTCAAGGAGGACGAGCGGATCCCAGAGCAGTTCAGGGCGCGTCTGAAGGATTACTTTCGCAGCGGTTATGATCGGGGCCGTGAGTCTGCGTAGACTGGGGCGGGAAAGAGATCGAGAGAGAGCCGGCCGCTGATGAGAGGATGGGGCCGAGGGCAGACATGGTCCCTGCTGCAGACGCCAAGAACAGCCAGCTGGCTATGAATGAGTGAGTTGGGAGTATGGCCCGACTCTGCATTCGAGCTTGAGCTGACCAGATGCCGGCAGGACGTTCTACCTGACCAACATCGCTCCTCAAGTGCGCAGCGCGTCTCTCTCCCTTGTCCCTCCTCTCATCGCTGACCTCTCCCTCGCTCGCGCGCGCACAGGTCGGCGAAGGCTTCAACCGCGACTACTGGGCGCACACCGAAGACTTCTGCCGGCGCCTTACAAAGGCGTTCGGCGACGTGTACGTCTTTACGATTCCGCTCTACCTGCCGAGGCAGGACGTGGATGGCAAGTGGCGCGTCAGCTATGAGTGCGTATGTGCTGCGCTGGAGAGAGACAAGAAGGGAGCTAGAGGCTGATGCTGTGCGGACTTCATGAAGGGTCATCGGCAACCCTCCGTCCATCGCAGTGCCGACTCATTTCGCAAAGGTCATCCTCGCCTCTGGCCGTCCCTCTGCTCCTGCCTTGCCCTCTCCAGCCGCAAGCAGCACCTCCACCGCCCCCGCGCCGCTGCCAGGCATCGACTCGGGCAGCGGCGGCAAGCTGCTCTCCACGCTCGGGCTGGGCAACGGCGTCACTGCACTCGGCGCCTTCGTGCTGCCAAACGCCATCATTCCCAACAGCGTGCCGCTGCGCGCATTCGAGGTGCCGCTCGACACTGTCGAGCGTGCCGCAGGCCTCGTGCTCTTCCCGCCCGCCGTCAAGCGCGGCGCAAAGAGCCTGTGCAGCGTCACGGACTGCTCCATCATCGTGCGCGACTTCAGCAAGGCGAATGAGCGGGTCAAGGTGGAGAGACGCAACACGGCGTAGAGCGTGAGCTGCCACGAGCTAGCAGAGCTAATGTCACACACTGCGAGAGACGCGCGAGGGGATGGGAGACTCTGACTCTTGCTGCTGTATGGGGATGAAGAGACGCTAGTGATACATGTGGGGAGTGCGTGGGGTATCGATATTGGAGGAAGAGGAGAAGCAGGGGAGGCAGAGGACAGGTAGCAGGAAGAGTGGAAGGACGGGGCAACGCCGGAGCGAGAGAGAAAGGGGGGAAGGGGAGATCAAGGAGAAGAGTCTAGAGTCAGGAAGTGGACGTACACGGTGGGGAAGCGCAACGGAGAAGACATTCCGCTCCAGCCACCCCGCCGTGTGCGACACTCCGTACTCTGACCTCTCGCCTTTCCTCCTCTCTGCCCCTCCTCTCCTCCCGGTTCTCTTCCAGCTCGAGGGAGTCCGGGCGGAAGGAAGAAGCGAGGAGCGGGAGGGAGACGGGGTGGAAGAGGAGGAGATGGAGATGGAGATGGATGACAGGGTGCGGGGCAGGGGCCGAGGAGCGGCGTCTCCTCATCCCAGTCCGGCACCCAATTCGTCCTCCTCTATCTCCTCTCCGCCGCCCCCACCCCCCTCCACCCTCGGAGCACCTCTTGAAGCCCCTCACTCGGTCCTTCGCGGCGGAGGCTTGCGCGCCTTGTACTTGTCCTCGCTCAGCTGCGGCGCACCGTCGAGTTCGCGCTGCAGGCCCTGGAGCGTCTTGCTGACCGCCTCCGAGGCGCCCGCGACGCCGCGCAGCACGGCGATGGGCACGGCGCGGATCACCGGGCGCGAGGCACCGGCGCCGCTGCTGCGCTCGTGCACCTCCATCGGCACGGCGAGGATGGTGCGTGCGGCGTCGCCGAGGCCGCGGCTGAGGCCGGCGTAGGCCTGCGCCAGCGCGTCGCGCATGTCCTCGGGCTGCTCGGCGTAGCGGCTGATGAGGCTGTCGCGCTCGGCGGCGTCGAGGGCGCTGCTGCCTGCATCCGCGGCATCGGGCTGTGCGATGGCCTCGGCGCGGACGGCCGAGTGCATGCGCCCGCCAAGCACATGCTCGGCCTGCTCGAGGATCACCTGCGTGCCCGTCGCAAGCTTGGCGCCTAGGCGCACGGCCTCCAGCGCCGTCGTCTTTGCAAAGCTCGCGGCGCCCTTCTGCAGGCCGCGCGCCAGGCGCCCGTCGCGCTGGTACTGCTCGATGGGCAGCAGCACGAGATCCGCCAGGCCGGCACCGACATTGACGAGCGAGCGCACGGGCGCAATGCCGCTCAGCACGTCGGCCAGCTGGTTCGCCTTGACGTCGGGCGTCCAGATGTCGTTGAGCGTGTCGAACAGGCGCGCCCAGCCCATAAGGCCGCGGAGGGTGACGTGCCGCAGGGTCATCTCTGCCTCGTCGAAGTGGAAGAAGTTCATCAGCTCGACCGTCTTGCCCTCGCGCAGCAGGCCGTAGTCGACGCGCTTCGGCTTGTAGTCGAGCTTGAGGCGGATGGGGAAGATCTCGGCGTGCTCTGCGCGGGCGACGCGATGAGCGCCAAGCATCACTCGGCAGACATCGCGGGTACTCACGAATAAAGGGGCCGGAAGGCGGCGCCGGCGCACCAGCAGGCTCCGGCTCGACGCCGGGCGTCTTGAACGAGAAGAACTTCTTGAAGAAGTCGAGTGCGTCCTGGTCGACGTGCAGCCGCAGCGGCGCCAGCTTGGCACGCACACGCACCTCTTCGCGCGGCGACTGGCCCAGCTGCGGACGGACGTTGTGCACCTCGACACGCAGCATGCGCGACTCGTCGTTGCGCCGAAAGGCGCGGTTCTCGGGCAGCATCTCGGTGAGAAAGGTGCGCCACGTCGACGTCGGAATGTTGTCGAGGATCTGCAGCGAGCGCGCATTGACCGCGAGCCGCGACGCAGTCGGCGAAGTACGCCCAAAGGCGTCGAACTCGGCCTCGATGCCTCGCAGCTCAATGTCGATCATAGACTTGTGCGAGCGCTGCAGCTTGCTCCGGCGGCGCGAGGCGGGGCCGTGCACTGGCGCTCGGATGCCCGCGCCACTCGGCAGTGGCTGCCACGTGCTGGCGTTGGAAGCCGTCTCAGACTGCTCGCCGAGCTCGTCGTCCATGACCTTCATGGCGGCGCCGACATCCAGCTCGCTCTGTGCCGCGGGCAGCGAGATGTGGATCGAGTCGAAGAGCGCGCCCGTGATGGCCTCGACGCTGTCGTCGGGCGTCTGGCCTTCGTCCAGCAGCTGCTGGATCTTCTGCAGCCGGCGTCGCACCCGCCGGGCCTCGGTCTCGATGGCCTGCCGCGTTGCATCCCAGTCGTAGCCAGCGAACAGGCGCAGCGCAAAGTCGCAGTCAGCGATGCGGACACGCACCGAGCTGGCAAAGGCACTGCGCGTCGCAAATCAGCAAAGGACGGAACGACCACAAGACACTCCGGTACTCACGAGTTCTGCGCCACGTGCGGCTCGAGCAGCGGATCGGTAAAGTAGTTGGGCTTCGGGCAGATGCCTCGCGGATCGAGCAGGCGCACAGTCACGACGTCGTTCTGGAGCACGACGTTTGCGCTCTGGGCGACGGACGGTGCAATGTCGAGCGTCTCAATGGAGCCCGAGCCGAGGAGCTCGTCATCCTCGAGCGCCGCCGACACGATGCTGGGCGAGGCGGGCGCGGCGCCAAGGTAGCTTGCGTTGCGAGGAATGTCGTCCTCGACGAGGTCGGCAGAAGACGCAAGCACTGCGTTCTGACTGCTGCGGCGGAATGCATCCTCGTCCAGGCTCGCGAGCATGTCTCGTCCGTCTGGCTCTTTCGAGTCAGAGTCCGCCGCAGAAGCGCGCAATTCTGCAGCCTGCGCGTCGGAGGGGTCGCTGGATGACGGAGGCGGCCCAGGCACGGGCGTCAGGGCGCGAGAGAGCTCAGCCACGACGCTCAGCGTGTCTGCGCAGGCAGTGACTTCGATGCGCAGCCGCGACACCTTGACATCGACCTCGGGCCGCGTGAGCGTGCTGAGCGTTAGGCTGCCCTTGGCATCGGCGAGGTCGACGAGCGTGGCGAATTCACAGGCGGCCCAGTGGTCGAGTGGCGTGCGAATCTTGCGGCGCCTCTCTTCCGAGGGCGCGGTGGCCCTCTCTGCGAGCAGCACGGAAGTGTTGCGGAGCGCAAACTTGTACGTGGTCCGCCGAGAGTACGGCGACAGCTTGGCCTTGAGCGAGAGCTCGCCGATGACAGCCGCCGCCTGCGCGCTGACTCGAGGAGCAGACACGACCAGAGAGACGTCTCTGACGCGCAGCGACAGGCGCGTGACCTCGTTAGGCTCGACGTGCTCGAAGGCGCCCTCGGGCGACTGCAGGAAGCGCGCAAGATCGCTGAGCAGCGCCGCGTCGGACGGCGAGGCGGCAACGGTGAAGCCTCGCAGCGCGACGTCGATCTTGGACTCGCGGTAGCTGGTGTCCGCCTCGGCGATGGACAAGAGATGCAGCGAGATCATCGCGATGCCGCCCGACGCCTGCAGGACGGGGTGTCAGCGAAGCAGCAGCAGCGGCGACGCGAGCGCGGCGCACCAGGGACTGCTCGAGCGTGCGCGAGACGAACGTCGTGGCCGCTTCTTCCACGCGGCTTTTGACCACGACGTCCATGATCGAAAGATCAATGAGCGTAGTCAGCTGCAGGAGATCAGGTCAGTCACGGCCATGAAGTAGAGACGGCGCAGAGATCTCACCTCGGCATGCGCGGGATCGACGAACAAAGCGATCTCCGACGCCGACGCCTCGAGGTGATGCAGATCCTTGGTCGAGTCCGCGCGTGGAACGTGGAGCGAGACGGACGCTGCCGGCAGGAGTCAGCCCAGTGAGACGCGGGAGCTTCTCTGACGAGCCTCACCTTCGGAGATGCTCAATGCTAGCGCCGGCGCGCTGTCGCCCCTGCCGGCCAGCTCAGTGGAGTCCGAGCTGCCCGATAAGGCAGAGATGCTGTGCTTGGTGCCGAAGAAGCGCGAGCCGAGAATCTTGAGCGCGTCGGTGCCGCCGTCGACGTCGTCGGTGTCGGTCTCACGTCCGAGCGCCGCAGACCACTGCGAGAGATCGTCCGCCAGCAGCTCGAGCTGGTCTAGCAGCGCCTTGGACAGAGATGTGCGCACGGCCGGCAGCTGCACGTCGATCGATGAGCGCGGTTTGGCGAACACAGCACCGGGACGACGAAGCAAGCAGAGGCTCAGTGGCCGAGGCTCGTCGCGCGGTGCACCAGCAGCCTCGTCTGCCGCAAGCTTGCCCACTACCGCGAATGCGGTGGCTCGTGCCTCTGTAGTGCAGCCGGTCAGTCTCTACGTCTCAATACTGCAGCTGCACACGCACCTCGGATCGGCTTGAAGAAGGCTACAACTGCGGCGATCGAGCAGCGTCCGTCCTCTGCGACGGCGTCAGGACGCGCCCGTGTGTGCGGCGGGCCAGTCGCGAAGCCGACTGATGACCGATGCGGCGGTACATCTCTACTTGGCGGACCGAGACGCGCATCAATGCCCTGAACATCGACGATCAGGATGCCAGACCGAAGCTCGGACGCTTGAGGTCCCGCAGCCGCGCTCGGCACGCGCAGCTCCACGCGCAGCAAGGCACAGCGCAGCTCGGTCCTGCTGGCCGACGTCGAGGTCGAGGCTCCTTGCAGCGGCGCGCTCTTGACCTTGGGCGATGCGGTCAGCGTGGCGAAGGACTGCGACATGTCCGAGCGTGCCGACGACCACACGTTCTGCCGCAGCGCAGCGCTGGCGGACTGCGCCAACGGCATGAGGCGATTGACCGTCGAGACGTCGACAAAGACATGTAGCGGCGCCAGCTCCACCGTTGTCGAGGCTCCAGTCACTAGCAGCACGACATTTACGCGCACAGCCGGACGCAAGAGCTCCTTCGCAGCAGACGAGACGCTGCTTGAAGCGCGTCGAGCTCGAGGGCGCACCTTCCACGCGCGTTCGCCCCACGAGGCGCGCCAGTAGGGGCCCTGTGACGACGCTCGCGGAGCTTCGCTAGTCGCTGATGGAGCGGAGCGCTGCTCGCTGGCCGCGAGACGCCAGTCTGCCGCGTCCATACTGACTTGCTCCAAGGGCGCCAGCGCTTCTCGTCTCTTCTCGAGGCCCAAGGGCGTGCCGGCCAGCGGCACCGCGTACTGCTCCTGCATGTTGGCGTCGGGCAACAGAATCGGAAAGACCGTCGCGACATCGCCGTTGGCCAGGTGGGGCGAGAGGTGCTCGTAGACGCCGACGTCCGTCACCAGAACGCATGCTGTAGGCGAGAGCTCGGACGAGGCGGCGACGGCGTAATCGAGCTCCACTCCCTCCACACGAAGACGCAAGTGGCCGACGGCCGGATGTATGCGTGCCGGCCGCTGCCAAAAGGCCTGCAGCGACTCGTGCATTGCTCGCTTCGAAGGCGGCGACAGCTGATTGGGCGACTCGTACGCGCAGATGAGGTGCAGTGCAGCGATACGCAGTGACGCGTCGAAGGCTGCTCGAGCAGCAGGCAGGGAGGTCGGCTGCTCGTCGTCGCGTGGCGGACTAGAGGCCGAGCCGAGCTCGCCTGCCATCGACATCAGCGCCGCAAGCTGTCGCGGATGCACGAAAGCGACGACGGCGCCCACTTCGACGCTGAGCGACGTGCGCAGCCGCGAGGCTGGCAGTGCCACGACTGTCTCGTTCTCTTGCGCCTCTCCTGCATCGGGTTCCTCGTTCTGCGAGGCAAAATTGTCTGGCGCAGGCCGCGGCACCTCTTTGAGCGTCGCGAAGCGCACCACGATTGCCTCGCTGCCGAGCGAGAAAAGCATCTCAGGCCCACGGTCGACGTCCTGCGTGTCGGCGCTCGCGTCGGGCCGACTCTTCGTCTGGGAGACCTCGACGCCTCGAATGTCCTCTGCGCTGGCATACACGCTGGCCTGACTCGCGTCAAGCGCGCCAGTGGCGATGCTGCTCTGTCGCAGATCCGGAATGGCAGAGCTCATCTCCATGTACTCGTTCGTCTCGCTGTCCGAGTCCGAGCTCCCCGACTCGCTCGAGCTCGCCGCTCTCCACCGCGCCTGGCGAGTGCCGCGTGCTTCGTGCGAGGCGGCGTCGGCAGGCAGCGTCATCCAGAGCGAGATGCCCGCGACGCGGGCGGTGCGCACGACTTCTTGCACGAGGCGGTCTTGCAGTGCCGCAGGATGCGAGGCTGCTGGGGCAGAGGCCTCCGATTGAAGGTCGAACGACTCCATGCGCAACTCGAGCTGCACGCCGGCAGCCGCCGAGAGGTGCTGCGAGTGCTGCAGATGCAGAGTCACTCGCCGCACGGACACCTTGAGGCGCGCGAGCAGACCCTCGACGATGCCGGCGATGAGCGAGCTGGGCGCGGGCGCCTCTGACGCCGCAGCTGCAGCAGCTGACGTGCCTGGTACAGCGGTGCTTGCGGCTAGCATCGACGCCTGCAGCGACTCCTCCAGCTCCTGCCCCTCGAGCGTGTCATGAAACACGCTCTCTGCAGCGCCGAGGATCGACTCCTCGAGGCCTGCGCTAGAGCGGCCAGCACGAGGACTGTCGAACGGCGACGCCGGCGGCGATACTTTGCCGTCGAGCGCGACGCGAACGTCGATGTCGGAGAGCGAGAGACTGAGCTCGCCGCTCCAGAGGTTTGGGAAGGGCAGCTGCACTGCGACGCGGCCCAGCTGTCCGCTGACCACGCGCAGCGGACCGCGTGGGAGGAGCTCGTTGATGGCCTGTGCAGGAAGGGACGGCAAGAGAGGCAGAGCGAGCGTCAGCGAGAGCCAATACGTTCTTCCGGCCAGGCGCGCTTGCGCTGCGTCCGGCGCCACAGCGTGCTTGGCCTGGGTCAGAACTGAGAGGCTGCCTCGGACCGAAGCTAAGGAGCTGTGCTCGCGCTGCAGTTGCACGCTGGCGTCGAGTGGTCGTTCACGCCAGCACCGACCTTGAGCGCTACCAGCAATCCGACCTCTCGCTATCCGTGCGTGCCTCCAGTATCCAGCCTCCAAGCCACGCTCAACCTACTCCCTCACCGCTCGGCCAATGCGACTCACCTCGGCACTCAGCTGCAGACCGGCAATCTCGACGCTGCCACTACCGATGGCGGCGTCGATGCTGGCGGCATCGAGCGCGCCGGGCGCCAGGAAGCGTCCGAGGGCGCGCCGCAGCAGATAGGCCAGCAGGCGCCGCTGCAGTGCGCCGGAGAGGGCCGCATACGCGGGCAGGTGCTGCCATGCGCCGGAGAGGAGCGAGGGCAGGTAGGAGAACATGCTGCTCTGGCCGCCAGCCTACGGCGCCGCAGCAGGCCCGATGGTCGAGCGAGGAAGGTTGCAAGCCGTAGAGGAGAGCGGAGTGCGGTGCTGACAGCAGCAGACGAGCGCCGGCCAGCCGCGCGAAGTGTGCCGGGGTCCAGCGGAAGGTGGAGGAGCAGCGGCAAGGCGCGTGCGCCGCAGCGCGCCGTGAGGGGCTTCGCTACCGGCGATCGGCCGTGACTAGCGCTGCGCTGTGAGGCTGAGACACGCAGAGATACAGAGCGTAGCGGCCAGGCGTGCGGCGGCCGGGATGAGGGTCGAGAGCGAGGAGCCTGCATGAGGCGCAGCAGGGGCTCCGATAGCGCTTTGACTCCACACGGCGCGTGCGGAAAGTGTTCCCACGCACCCCGCTCAGGTCACGCCAGCCTCAGCTCAGCACAGCCCGGGCACTCCAGCAGTGTCGCCCGCCCGCCAGCACGCGAGGGACCCTCGCGTGCCGACGTGCCGGGCCAGCGACGCTCCCACCACCACCATCCTGCCCGACTGCGACACCTTCTGCCTCACTATCTCATCGCCTGCGCACGCCCGCTCAAGCGCTGATCTCTCGCTGCCAGCTGCGCGCGCCCTCGCCTCACCCACGTCCACGCCGGCGTCGCCGCGCCCTCGCCCGACATGGCGCACTCGCTCTCGCCCTCGCGCGCCGCCGCCTCGCTGCGCCGCGTCGACTCGGGCGCCTCCCTGGCTTCGCGACACGCGCTGCGCGACGTCTCCGCCGACGGCGCGCTCTCGCCCGACGGCAGTGCCGTGCATCTGCTGCCCGCCGACGAGCAGGCGCGCCAAGACGCGGCCCTGCGCGCACGGCAGCGACAGACACTGCTGAGAGCAGCGGGCCAGCTGGCGACGCTGTTTGTCGTGTGTGCGCTCGTGTGCGTGGGCACGCTGTGGCTCGGCCTGCCGGAGATCCGTCCGTGAGTGAGAGCGCACATGTCCGCTGTGCGACGAGGGGCGGAGGACCGGCGCAGCGGCGGCGGCAGCTCTAGCTCTCGTCCCACCGGCACTCCTTTCTTGGACTCTCGCACTGACGCTCGCTTTCAGCGAGGACAAGGAGGCACTGGCCATTCCGCGCTCCTTTGAGCAACTCAAGGCGCTCAATGCCGTGCTGCAGCACTACAAGGAGGAGCATTTTGCGCGCGTCATGCTCTGCTGGATCGTCGTGTACATGTTGTGAGTTGAGCGGAGCATTGCCCAACAGGCAGCTGCTGTGCAGTTTGCATGGCGGACTACTGCGACTGACCGCAATGCTCATGCCCGCTCCTCTCTGCCACAGCCTGCAGGCATTCTCGATCCCCGGCAGCATGTACATGTCCATCCTCGCCGGCGCCATGTGGGGCGTGCCGCTGGCTTTGCCAATCGTCTGCGCAGTGCGTGTTCTCTGCTCCCTGGCCGCCCGCTGCTACCACTGACGCCGCTTGCCTGACCTGCTTCCAGAGCGTCGCGACAGGCGCGACGATCTGCTACCTCATCTCCTCGTACCTCGGCGAGGTGCTCGTGGCGATGCCCAAGTGGAAGGCACGCGTCGATGCGTGGAAGGAGCGCATCGGCGAGCAGGACAACTTGCTGAGCTACATGATTGTCATCCGGTGCGTCGTCTGCCTGTGCTGTGCCGCAGATCGGTTGCTCATGCAGCAGGCCCGCACAGCATGATGCCGCTGCCGCCGCACAACATCGTCAACATCCTTGCGCCGCACCTGGGCATCAAGGTGCCGCTCTTCTGGGTGTCCACCTTCTTTGGCATCTTTGCCGTGTCGGTCATCCACACGACGATCGGCGAGAAGCTGGATCAGATGTCGAGGTGTGTGGTGCATGACGCACTTTTGCACTGCCTCTACTGACGCGATTCTCTCTGCAGCGCGGATGACTTCAACCTCCTCTCCGTGCGCAACGCGGTGCTCATGGTCGTCGTGTGTGCCGCCGCCCTCACGCCCATTCTCGTCAAGCGCTACACGGGCGCCGCGCCGCTCGAGGAGGCCGAGGCGCCCGCCGGCCGTCTGCGTCTGGACGGCGAGGAAGGCGCGCGGCCTTCGACGCTCGTGGGCCGCCGCGGCACGGGGCACTTTGCCGACGACGACGAGTCGGACGACGACGAGCTGCCGCGCGTGTCGCTGCGCCATGCCATGAGTGGCTATCGCGACGAAGAGGCGGCGCTGCCCGGCGCACGTGGGACAGCGGCGTGGCGCAATGAGCGCAACGCCAGTGTGCCCTCCTCGGACGACGAAGACGCCGACGCGGCGAGCCTCTCGTCGGCGCCGCGCGTCTTTGACGACCGTCGGGAAGAGGCGGCGCCACGACGCGGCAGCAAGGCGGCACGCGTGCTGGGCCACCATGGCGGCAGCCCAGGCCTGCCTTATCCCGGCCAGCATCAGCAGGCGCCGGGCTTGGGCGAGCGCGCCGGCCAGCTGTGGACACGCGTGGTCGGCGGCCGTGGCTGAGCACTAGGAACCCTGTCCCCTCTCTGTGATGTGTATCTAGATCTCTGGGCTGCAGCGGGGCGCAATCGCAATGCTTGCTGCGTCGCTCTGAAGCAGAGGAGTGCCAAAGCGAGGTCCTCCGCTGCACGCAACCCTGTGCGGGGACGGCGTCACGTGATGTACACGCCAGCGGCCAGCGCACGACCCCGCTGCGTCGATGCGCACAAGCGCGAAGCCTCCCGCGCCTGCTTCCCCACCTCTTGCATCCGCCTCGGGTCACTCTCTCTCTGTCCTCCTCGCCTCCGTCTTCGCCCGCAGCCATGGCGCACCAGTTCATCGGCGCTCTCATCAGCCTCACGTCCAAGTCCGAGGTGCGCTACCAGGGCCGCCTCGTGTCGCTCAACAGGTGCGTGCCGTGCAGCGCCAGGCGCAGTTGCGGCTCGGCGGGAGCTGTGCAGCAGCGATGCTGACACTGTGGGGCTTCGTAGTGAGCAGGCGACCATCTCGCTCAAGAATGGTGAGCTCCGTCGCCCTGCGCAGTCCGTCTCTCAGCGCTGACACGGCCCCGCAGTGCGAGCATGCGGCACCGAAGGGCGCCTCGCCGCGCTTGGGCGCCCGTACGAGGAGATGCCGGGCAGCGAGAACCGCTACGAGAGCATCGTGTTCCGCGCCGCCGACGTCAAGGATCTGACGATCGACGACCCGAACCCGGAGGTCGCGCCGCCGCCTGCGCAGCCGGCCTTCCAAGATCCGGCCATCATCGGTGTGAGTGTCCACGGCGCCTCCTGGGTGAGAGGGCGATGCTAACGCCGCATGATGGCAGTCTACGCCTGCTCCAGCACCTGCTCCAGCTCCGGCGCCGGCAGCAGCTCCAGCGCCTGCCGCTGCGCCCGCTGCCGCTCAGGCTTCCGCTCCGAGCGCTGCCGCCGCTCCCTCGCAGCCCGCGGCCTCGAGCGAGGGCACCACGGCCGCCTCGCTGGCCTCGTCCATGGGCAACCTCTCTGTTGGCAGCGCGCCGCCGGCCAAGGCGCCGCAGCAGGCCAACGGCCGTCCCGCAGCGCCCAGCAGCGCCAACCTGCCCGCCGTGCCGCACGCCGCCGCCGCCGCTGCCGCGCGCCAGGGGCAGACGTCGCCTCGCCAGACGCGCGCCGTGCCCGGCTCCGGCGGCCGCGCTGCGCCGCGCGCCGAGCGCAGCGTCTTTGATCAGGGCGCGGGGCGTGGCCCAGCCGCGGCGGCGCTCGTGGAGGTGCCCGACGCGGACTTTGACTTTGCCGCTGCGAACGCGCGCTTCGAGAAGGAGCGCGAGACCGCAGCGGGCTCGCCGGAGCAGGAGCGCGGCGCGGCCGAGGGCGGTCTGGATGCGATTCCGCCGCCTGCCGCGGAGCCGAAGAGCTTCTATGACAAGAGCACGGTGAGTGCCGCGCCTGACGTGCGATGCTGTGCGAGGGCTGAACATTGGCACGCACAGTCTTTCTTCGACAGCATCTCCTCCGAAGTGCGCGAGCGGCACGATCGTCGCGGCGGCGGCCATGGCGGGCCGCGCAACCCTGCGCCCGAGGCACCGCACAACGGCATGGGCGGCGGCCGTGGGCGTGGCGGAGCGCGCGCCAATCGCATGGCAGAGGAGCGCCGCAACATGAGCACGTTTGGCGAGGTGGGTGACACGGCCGCCTTTGGCTCGGGACGCGAGGGCTTCCGGGGCCGCGGGCGGGGCCGTGTACGGGGAAGAGGGCGCGGCGCACCGCGCGGAGAGGGACAGCAGAACGGCGGCCTCTGAGACGCTGGTCGCTGCCCTCAAAAGTCACGCGCGCCCGGCGAGCGTGCTGCTCTCTGCCTGCGTCCGTCCTCGTCACTCTTGCAACTACACAGTTCCTTGATCATCCAGCTACCAGTCTCATGCGTGGAGTGCTTGCTGTGCTTGCGAGAGGCGGCTGTGGCTGATGCAGCTCTGAAGGAGAGATGCCAAATGCAGAGCGCCAGGCACACACGGTGTGCGGGTGGCTGCTGGCTCCGTCGGCAGCGCCTCCGAGCCGGCGGAGGTTCGTGCCTGGCCCGCATCCACATGCACACGCTCGCATCCCGCAACAGGAACCCGCCCGGCAGGCAGCTCACGTGCGCCCCGCACACCGCCGAATGGTGTGCTCAGGGTCTCCCGATGCGTCATGGGTTCGTGCTGCAGCCTGCAGGATGCATGCAGGTGTGCCGAGCAGGGAAGCGAGGCCGGCGAGGTGGAGACGGAGATGGTGCCCATGGCGGGCGGCGCCGTGTCCTGGCGGTACCTGAGCGGAGCAGCTCAGCGTCCGGCGTTCTTGCTGCGCCCTCGAGCGGTGCTGGCCTCCCGTGTGGTGCCTCCGTCCTCAGGGCGAGGACGAGCCCTCCTCTGCCACACTGACGTCGTGCCAGCTGGGTTAACATCTTGCCTCTCTCGCACATCTCGCCATCTTGCCGCACATGCTGCTCTCACGCCCCGCGCCACCCGCACCTCATGCTGCGGCTGCGGCTGCTGCTGCAGGCTGTCACGCGGCGGCAAAGACACCGAGCGCCGCAGGCAGGCGCGGTCTTGGCGCTGCGAGCGTCATGCTTGGCGCGCCGCCGCCGTGCGGCACTAAGACTTGGGCAGTGACGCGCCGCAGCGCAGGCGCACTGTGAGCCGCCCGCGCGTCGGGCTCGCGTCGCCGACAAAAGGCAGCTGCGACTCCACATGAGGGACACCTTCGCACCTCCTCCAGCATCAGCCCTTCACCTCGCATTTTCGCCATCATCAAGCCCTATAGCTGCACCGCTTTGAGCATCAAGCTCTCTTCTCCGTTCACACGATGAACGCCCTCCGCCGCATCGGGCGCAAGCTGGCGCCGACGGCCGACAAGGGCAGCGATGGGCGCGACGTGTGGCCTTCGCGCGCCGGCTTCGTCCTTGCGAGCATGTCGGGCTGCGCAGGCATGGGCAATCTCTTGCGCTATCCGTCGGTCGGTGAGTGAACACCCTGCGCTGGACATGGCGGGACCACTCCGGACAGTGCAGCGGCGTCTGTGCGCAGATTGGCCACGTGCTGACTGCTGCATCACTAGTTTACAACGCCCAGGCGGGCCTGTCATGGTTCATTCCTTACTTCATGGCCGTCATCCTCATCGCCATTCCGACGCTCATGCTCGAGCTGTCGATCGGACAGGCACACCGCGCGGGAGGCGTCGTCGCGTACAACGCGCTCAGCAAGCGCCTGCGCGGCGTCGGACTGGGCATGCTGTGGGTCGCCTTCCTGGTGGTTCCCTATTTCGTCGTGAACCTCGCCTGGAGTGAGTGCCGGCACTACAGTCGACGGCATCTGTCGCACGCGTGCTGACGCCTCGCAGTCATGACGTACTGGCGCAACTCGTTCATCTCGCCCCTGCCGTGGGCCGGCCGTGCTCCGGACTTCTACGCAGAGGTCGTGGCGAACCCAACGCCGATCGCCGGCGAGCTGTCCGCCTCCGGCAACAGCGTGCTCAGCTACACGCAGTACCCGAACATCGCCTTCATCGGCGAGACTGTTGGATGGTCGGTCTTCACGTTTTTCCTCGTGTTCATCAGCATTTTCCGAGGTGTAGGCATGACAGGCCGTGTCGTATACTTCACGATGGGCATGCCCATTGTGATCACGATTATCCTCGTCGGACGGGCATGCTCGCTGCCCAACGCCGTCGACGGCGTCCGGCTCTTCGTCGGCACGTGGCGCGGAGAACAGCTCGCCAACGGTCGCATCTGGCAGACGGCATGCTCCCAGGTCTTCTTCTCGATCGGTGTGGGATTCGGCTACTTCACCAGCTACGCCTCGTACTCGAGTCGCTTCAGCAACGTCGTGGTCGACGGCCTACTGATTGCTGGAAGCAACGTGCTCTTCGAGAATTTCGCCGCATTCGCCGTGTTCGGCGTCGTGGGCTTCCTGCAGCTCTTCCCCGAGCCCGGCGCGCCGCCGCTCGGCGCCTTTACCGTCGGCTTCCTCACGCTGCCCGAGGCCGTGGCACAGCTGCCCGGCGCCAACTTCTGGGCTTTCGCCCTGTTCACAACACTGATGACGCTCGGCTACAGCTCGGCATTCGCCATGCTTGATGCCGTCGTCACGGCGATTCTGGATACGGGACGCGTCCAGAACCGCACGCTCGTCGTCGCTGCATGCGTGCTCGTCTCGTTCTGCTTCTCGCTGCCGTACTGCACGCAGTTCGGCGAGGCGCTCCTGACCGGCGTCGATCGCTGGGTCTCGGACGTGGCGCTGGTGTTCGTCGTATTCTGCGAGGTGACGCTCTCCACGTCCGTGTATCGGTACCGCGACGTGATCACCGAGGTCGGCCTGCCCGCGTTCGCAAGCTACAACAGCGGCTACTTTGGAGGCATGATCTGTGGCGTGACCGTCGCGCATGCCGTGTCTCCGGCAGCCGGAGCAGGCGTGGGCTTCGGCCTCTACATCCTCGGCAGCCTGGCCGCCATGATTCTTGGCAAGACGCCGCTCAGTCGCCCGCCGAGCTTCTGGGGCAAGTACGTGTGGCTGGAGCGCTTCTGGTACGTGGCCGCCTACCAGGGCAACCAGCTGCGCCGCGACCTCAACCGCATCGTCGCGACGGGCAAGAACTGGAGCATCCCGCCGTTCTGGGGCCCGCTGCTGCGCTACGTCTCCGGCCCGGTGCTCGCGATCGTCTACAGCTTCAGCTACCCGAGCTTCTACCAGCTGCGCTACGACCCGCTGCACATCCTCGGCTTCGCCCTGGGACATATTCCGATCGTTGTGATCGTGCTGTGCTTTAGCATGCCGCGCTGGTTCGACGTCTTCGTGCCGCCGGAGCGCCGCGACGAGTCGACGCTGCCTACCGTGCCGCACGCGCAGCACCCGGCGCTGCATGCGCTCGAGGAGCGCGAGCTCGAGGAGCAGCGCGAGCAGCAGAAGCAGGCGGCAAGCGACGGCCAGAGCTCGGTAGAGGAGAAACCAGAGGGCAGCAAGGTCGAGGACCACAAGTCGGAGACGAGCAAGAGTGGCGAGCAGGCGCAGCAGCCGCGCGTCGAGGTCGTGCCCGTCTCGCCCGATGAGTCGCCCGTCAAGACTTGATGCGCCCCTCTACCTTCCGCTTCGCATGCCACCACCACACGTTCTTTCTGGGCCTCCCGTCACGTCTCTGCCATGTACCATACCGCCGCTAGATCGAGCTCTCAATTTTCGCATCTCAGACATCAGACAGCGTGCGCGTGAAGAGTATGAAGTGCGAGCAGGGCGCGTCGTGCTGCCGACGCAGGGACAGTGACATGATGCGGATGAGGACGAGACGGTGCAGAGGGCTGCTGAGCAGCGCGTGCGGCTTTTGCGGGGTGGTTGTGACTAGGTTTGAACGGGACTGTAGGTATAGCATGGTGTGTGGTTGACGAGACGACGGATCAGTAGCCGGTAAAGGCGCGGGCACGCTCTGGCGTGACAAGACGAGTCAGTGCGTGTGCAGAGCACGAGAGCAGAGGCTGCTCACCGCAGAGCTGGTGCACCTTCAGGCCGGCCTTGCTGCCCTTGAGAAAGACGCTGTTCTTGCGCACGGTGCGGATGATGCGCTCGCGCTGCTCGTTGCTGACCGACGTGAGGAGCTGCAGGGGCGGTGAGCATGCAGCAGGTGGGCATGAGGGGGCACGACGCACCAGAGTGACAATCTGCAGGCCCTGCGGCGCCGACGCCACGTCAACGAGCACGGAGCGGCGGTGCGAGGAGCTGGCGGCGCTGATGCCCGCCGCGCCAGACGCGCCTTCGCGATCGCACAGCACGTCGAGGTAGGCGTTGAGGAAGTGCTGGTCGGGCGACTTGAGGGCACTCATGATGGCCTTCTGGCCTGCTCAGAGGCTGTAAGTGGCGGTCTGAGCACGTGCAGCAGCGGCACGCACCGTACTGCGACAGCGTGAGGGGAACGGCCTGCTGCAGCAGACGTTCAAACGCCAGTTGGCGGTGCTTCCTGCTTGCGGACGTCAGCGGTGCAAGCGACCCTGCCGGCGCCCTACGCACGTGTCGCCGTGCTCGATGATGTGCTGCACCACCCATACGCCCCACTGGTTCGCGGCGCATTCGCATGTGTGCTCGAGGATCTCGGAGATGCAGCCTTCCTGTGGCCGCAGGTATGGGTCAGCTGGCAGATGCCGACGCCGGAGCCGAGGCCGGAGAGCTCATCACTCGCCTTCTCTGCAGGGTCCGCGCTCTCGAAGATGTTCTGGCAGATGATCGAGCCCGTCTCCTGCGTCGCCGTGTCGGCCCAGCGGCCGCGCATGGCGTGGTTGATGACGTCGAAGACGGTCGAGCGGAACTCGGGCTGCGTCCAGTCGATCTGGCGTGGTATCGCTGTGAGCTAGAGCACTCCGAGACGTGCCGCGGCCACTCACCTCGAGCACTTTCTGCCACTGCAAGCGAGAAGGGTCAGCTTGAACAATGAGCACACGCACAGCGCACGCACAACGTGGATAGAGTTGCGAGAGGTGAGCGTGTCGAGTAGACGGTCCGACAGAAGCTCCTCGACGACGCTGATCTTGAGACGCTCATCCTCGTCGAGGATCTGAGGGCGCGCCGTCAGTGATGAGCGCGACACACGAAGCGAGGGCCGACTCACGCGCTGCACAACGTGGCAGCCGAATTGCGACAGTGAGAGATCGACAAAGTGGCCTCTGACGCAGCCGAGTCAGTGACCGCTCAATTGCTCACCCGTGACGGAGCACTCACCTCAGCTTCCAGCAGATCTGCGCATCACAGCCGACTGCGGAGCAGGTCAGCCAGGCCTCGCGAGGCGCGCCCTTGCATACTCACTGGCGCGCTGCACAAGAAAGTTGCCATGCTTGTCCTCGGCGAGGCGGCGCAGATGAGGCTCGAGAGCACGCATGATTGCCGCCTTGCGCTCAGGCGTGGCCGACTTGAGCTGTTGCTGGAAGGACACCAGGGGTGAGCGCCTCCATGTGCTCGCAAGCGTGGGAACAGCTCACCTGGAGCGTGATGCTGGCGTCCTGGCTGCGTCCGCTCAGCGCGCGGTTGACGAGGACCTAGGTGGGACGTGTCAGCAGAGAAAGAGCATGAAAGGGCCGCGCTCACATCCGGCGGCACGTAGATCTCGTGCGCAGGTGCCTTGTCCTTGCGTGGCACCTGGAGACATGTCAGCGTCAGCGGAGCAACGCTGCCGCTGTGGTCAAGCACTCACAGGTACGTCTGTCGCCGACGGGATCGTGGCACGCATACGAGTCGAGCCTAGGCCAGGGCCAGGCACGCTGCCGGCCATGTACGTCGTCGGCGCTGCATTCGAGCGGAGCTGCAATCCGGAGGCGACAGCCGGCTCCGGAGGACTGGACGTCGGCGCGTGTGCTCTGTCGCCCTCGAACTCGAGGCCCAGGCCGATGGGCGATAGCTGCGGTACGACGTGGAGGTAGCCGTCGCTCTGGTGCGGATCGACGATGAAGTAGCCGTCGCTTGCCGTCTGGCCGCGTGAGTGCGAGTCCGAGCTCTGCAGCTGCGCCGCGTACGAGCTGCTGTACGACTGCAGCAGAGAAGGACGCGAGGCGTATTCGGAGTCGTCGAAGCCGGCCTGCATCGCACTCGAGCCTTGCCTCTGCATTGTACTGGCCTGCTGATGCGCAAGCGAGACGAGCTGCGGTGAACGCTTGGATATGCTCATGAAGGGCGACTGCGAGAGGTCAGCGCCCGGGTCGGGCGTGGCAGGGATGGAGCCGCCGCGGGAGCTGAACTCTTCCGCGCTGTCGACTGGGCTCTCGGCTGCGAACTGCGGGTGGCCGAGAGGCTGCTGCGGCGCAAACGGGCTGAACGGGTCGGGCGTGACGCTCGCACCGGTGCTGGCGGGCGAAAAGTCGCCAAAGTGAGGAAACGCGCTCGGCGGCGCGTGCGAGTGGAGCATGGCGAGGTGCGCCGGGTCGCTCTGACGGTCGAGACCGGCAGCAAGACCGGCGGCGTAGCTGCCGGCGGCCATCGAGGGCTGTAGGAGGGCCCGCAGTGCCACCGTCTCGGCCTCGAGCTCGGCGACACGCGACGTCAGCAGCGTGTTGATGGCCTCGGTGGCCGAGAGCTGCTCGCGAAGCTGCAGGCGTGTCAGAGCCACGCACACAGGCACTGCTCATCTGCCACACTCACGTTCGCAAGCTCGCTGTCGCTCGAGTCGCTTCCGATGCGGCCGTCCGGAAGGGCGAAGCTGCGCACAGGCAGGCCGGACGTCGTGTGCGAGCGCACGCCGCGGCCGCTCGTGGGGATGAAGATCGGCGAGCTGCGCTGCTGCAGAGTATGAGTCAGTCTTGGCCGCGTCGCGGCTCATGTGACGACTTACCTGCGACGAGCCGACCTCGCGAAGGGAGCTCGACGACGGCGAAGAGGTGTGCTCCGCGCTAGCCTCGGCACTGCGGCTCGCAAACGTCCTGCGCGGTGTGCTCTCGTGCGGCGAAGGGCTTGCACCACTCGAGACGTCGTCGAAGAAGGCGCTCTGCTGGCTGCCGCGAGCCGGCGAGGTGAGGACAGCGGCGCTGCCGGCCGTATGTGTGTCCAAGACGTTGGCCGGCGCCTCGGCCTTGTCCGGGCTGTCGTCGACGGAGGCGTACGTCGTGTTGAACGTGGCCTGGCTCTGCGTCGTGTCCATCGTAAAGTCGTCCAGGTAGCTGTGGGTGGTAGGGTCATCCGTGGTGGTGTCGCCGAAGGAGAGCGACGTCGAGCCGGGCTGCTCGGCGCTGGTGACGACGGCGCCCTGCTTCGGCGGCGCAGACGAGCCGGGCAGCGCGAGCGTGGTGCCCTCGGTGCCGGACGACGAGCTCGTCGAGGCCGATCCAAGAGCTGCAGCCGCATCGAGGTACTGCTGGCCGCTGCTGCTGCCCTTGTCAGCCGCGCTGCTGAGGCCGCGGGTGCGCAGAGGCGCGGGCGTGAACTCCTGCGCGGCGCTGCTGGCGGTGCGGGCGCGGCGGCGGCGCGTGCCACCACCGGCGGCGCGGGACTGCTCGAGCAGCAGGCTGCCGCCGCTGAGCGCCATTAGCTCGGGGTCGGCGGCGTCGATGGGGTCGAGGAGCGGCGACGAGCCGATCTGCTCGAAGGGCGCAGCCGGCGCCGCCGCCTTGCTGCTGCTGGCGTCGACGTTGGCACTCTGCGAGGAGCTCGCCAGCGCGCTGTGCGCAGAGGCGGGCGTCGAGGCGGCGAGGAGCGAGGGCATGTCGACGATGCCCGCGGGCGCGAGCAGGTCCTTGACGTTGACGAGGCTGGGGCTGCGCTGCGCCGCGACGCTGGCGGCGGCGGCGTCGCAGCAGCCGGGCGGCATGCTCGGCAGAGCTGGCTCAAGGACTGGTAGAGGCACGGAGCGGCGGCGAGGTAGCGGTGGCGGGCTCAGGGACATGCACGGCGCGGAGTGGGTGCAGGAGGAGCGGAGGGAGGAAGGCGGGCGAGGCGCGCACCTTAAGAAGCCCGCGTCGCAGCGCCCACAGATAGACGGCAGGCGCAGCTGCTGAAAGCGCTGAGCCTTCTCAAGAGGCAGCAGCCGAGCAGCGCCGGACTCGAGGCCGGCGGCGAGTGTGCGGCCTTGCACCCTGAGCTGGCGCTCGTGCATGCTGGTGGCCCGTGCCGTGGGAGAGGCGCGGCCCGGAAGGCCAAATCGGGACGCGTGCAGCGCCGCGAAGAGCCAGCTGCGGCAGCATCGCATGGCGTGAGCGTGCCGCAGCAGCGCCTCGTCCTTGCGAGCCGCAGGCCGGCTCTCGCTGCCGAAACATCTCCGAATAGTGCTGCTTGTCGGGCAAGGCGAGCAGCGCGGCTCGCAGGCGGGGCAGGAAGGCTTGGGCAGGCGTGCCGAACGCGGGAGGTGAAGCTCGAGGCGCCTCAAAATCGCGCCCCTCACGGTCTGCGGTACTGCAGCTGCTGGCGGCCGCCAGCCGAGCAACTCCTCGCTTCCCATCTGCCGATCTTTGAGCTCACCGCATAGATTGAGGCTGCTGTCGAATTGTGATGGCATCAGCGAAGCGTCTTTGTCGCGGGTGCCTGCCTGGCGAGCTGAGATTGTGATGTCTGCTCGCCGCCGAGGACGCGCCGGGGAGCGGCGCGGCACCTTTGGCGCCGCCGCATCGCAGCGGTGACCTACCCTCTGGACCCGTTGTGCTCGCGCGCTGCGCTATGCACGCATCGTTCACTCTGTCGCGCAGCGCCATGCAGTGCTGCCTCCGCTTCACCCTCGGTGCGACTTCCGGCAGCGATGGCATGGCGGGGAGGAGCGGCAGCTGCAAAAGGTGCTTTCTCGGGTCGCGGCGTTCTGTGCTGTTCCCACGGCATGCGCGCTCTCGAACAAACGTGCGCAGAGGCACGGAGCACCTCATGCGCGGAAGTGGAGGGAAGGGCTGCACGCCATGAGCGATGATGCGCGCATCGGGCAGGTGCCGGCGGCGTGCCCTGGCCCAGGAAGGAAGTTTGGGCAGCAGCGACCCTGCCAGTTTGGGCGTCGTCCGTGCGCCTCGCCAGCGCTGGCCCGCTTCAATATACCTCTTCAACATACCACCACCACCTCACCACACCCCTCACACACACCCAGCATGTCCTTCGGAAAGACGATCAAGCTCAACGACGGCAACGTCATGCCGCGCATTGGCCTCGGCACGTGGCTCTCGGAGCCGGTGCGTGGTGCAGCGGTGCGCGATCTGCAGCTGCCTGCTGACCCTCTCACCTCCAGGGCAAGGTCAAGGCCGCCGTGGCGCACGCCGTCAAGACGGGCTACCGCCACCTCGACCTGGCGAAGATCTACAAGAACCAGGAGGAGGTGCGTGGTGGTGTGGCTGCGTCTGTGGTGCAGCTGCTGACTCTCTCACCCCAGGTCGGCGAGGGCCTCAAGGAGGTCATCCCCTCGGTGGTCAAGCGCGAGGAGCTCTTCCTCACGTCGAAGCTGTGGAACAATGCGCACAAGCCGCACCTCGTCGAGAAGGCCTACGACGCCACGTGCAAGGAGCTCGGCGTCGAGTACCTCGACCTGTACCTGATCCACTGGTGCGTCGAGGGTCACCAATGGATGCTGCACCCTGGCACAAGTTGACCCCTCGCCCAGGCCCGTGCCGCTCGAGTCCGGCGACGACATTGAGAACCTCATGCCGCCCGCCAAGGACGGCAGCGACTTCAAGGAGCTCGACCTCAAGACGACGCTCGTTGACACGTGGAAGGCGATGATTGCGCTGCAGAAGACGGGCAAGGTCAAGAGCATCGGCGTGTCCAAGTGAGCGATACAGGCACTGTGCTGCGATGTGCTGCAGCTGACACTCGCCCGCAGCTTCACGCAGGCGCACCTCGAGGGCATCATCAGCGCCACGGGCGTCGTGCCCGCCGTGAACCAGATCGAGGGCCACCCGCTGCTGCCGCAGGAGGACCTGGTCAAGTACAGCCAGCTCAAGGGGTGAGCACTTAGACGGAGCACCTGCAGCTTCACTGCTGACACCCGCGCAGCATCCACATCACCGCCTACTCGCCCCTCGGCAACGCCTCGGGCTACGGCAAGAAGAGCGTCGACATCGCCGGCTCGAAGCAGGTGCAGGAGGTCGCCAAGGCCCACGGCGTCGACGCCGGCCAGGTCCTGATCGCCTGGGGCGCCCACCGCGGCACCAGCGTGATCCCCAAGGTGCGCAGCACGAGCGCCTGCTGCTTCTCGTCATCGCTGACCCGCCATCGCAGTCCGTCACGCCCAGCCGCATCGAGAGCAACTTCCAGGAGATCGAGCTGACCGACGAGGAGTTCGAGAAGGTCTCCTCGCTCATCAAGGACCACGGATCGTACGTGCGATTTAATGTGCCTATCGGCTATCCTTGGGTGAGGCGAAGGCGAAGTATTAGAGCCCTCAGGCGATCACTGGCTGACTCCCGTCAAGGACATCGATGTCTTCGGCGAGCCGGAGGAGAAGAAGGCCAACCACCGTGTCAACATCGGAGCGTAGAGCGCTTCCGCGGCTTCCTCCTGCCTTCGCGCAACTCGTCCGGTACCATTCGATCCATTCATGATCCTCTAGTGGTTGTTCTTCGCTTCTCCACGTCTGTCTGCGCCCCTGCTCCATGTCTGTCTGCGCACCTGCGCTCTCTCATGCGTGTCTGGTCTACTCTGAGGGGCGAGCAAGGTTGTGTAGCAGTGCTTGCTTGCTTGTCTTCGTCCGCGTGCCGATCTGTGTCTATGCGAGTCATCGCGCTGCTCATCCTCTGCTCTCTGGCCCAGCGACACGCGCACACGCAGCGGCTGCTGTGGTGATGTCCTTGCTACCTTCCCTCAGCCGCACACTGAGACTCACAGCCCCTTGAGCACTGCTTGCTGGCCGTGCGTAGGCTGCACAACGGCTCTCTGAAGCCATGTCACTTCTACACGGCGCTTGTGCACACGTTCAGCGCCGAGGTGATGTACTCTGGCGCAGCGACCACGTTGCATGACCGCATCCGCCTCCACCGACGCTCGGCAGGGCGCTGGTTACTGACAAGGCCTGACCGGTGCACACTGTCTAGCCGCACGTCATGGTCTGAGGAGGCAGGTGTCTCGCAGCGTCCGTGCGAGGCAGGTCGACCACTCTTGGCCCTCAGGGGTCAGAGGGCTGCTAATTCGGGCGCGCGTCGCCGCGTGTCCGGCCAGCCAGCCGCTGATGTGCTGCGCCGAGCTCTGCTTCTTACCACCACCATCCTCAACACCCGCCTCTCTACTCTTCATCTCACTCATCATGTCGCTCGTCTCGCTCGTGAGTAGTGTGCGTCCCGGAGAGGCGGGCAGGAAGCCGAGTCCGCTGCGGCATTGCGGTGCGCGTACGGCTGCCTGCGCACGCCCCGCGCGCCCAGGGCCAGCCACTCGCGCTGGCTTGGGCCCCGCTGCCCTCGCACATCCGTCGCAGCACTGAACGGCGCTGACGACCAGCAAGTTCATCCGCAGGATGTTCGCCAGGCTCGCGTCGACGAGCTTAAGACGCGCCTCAAGGCGCTGCAGGCGGACGTCAAGGAGCTCGTCAAGGAGCTGCAGGCGTTCGTCGAGGAGGCGGAGGAGCCGATCGGTGCCCACAGTGAGCGGCTGCGCGCGCGCCGAGCTCACGCCGTGCGCATGCTCACATCCTGCTCCAACGCAAGCCGCGAACGCCGAGGCCGCCGTGCGCAGCGCCAAGAACGCGAAGCTCCTCGCGCTGCTGCAGCAGCCCGCGGAGCTGCAGAGCACCCTCGACGACCTCGAGCGCGAGTGCAACCGCATCTACAAGGCGGTCACCCCTCAAGCACACCTGTGATCGCGGCGCAGGCCCAGCGAGTGCAACGCCTGGTGCAGTGGTGATCAATTGCTCTCCCATGACAATGCATCGCGCGTCAATCCTCTGCATCGGCAGGCTGCTCTGCGTCGTCCGTGCTGCTCTTAGTGTGCTCCGGCAGCGTGCGGTTCTCGATGGTGATGCAGCTGAGCAGCGTCACGAGCGCGGCGGCGGCGACGAAGCCGAAGACCCAGCGCAGCGCCACGGCGTACGCCGCCACGGCCGCGGCGCGCTCGTGCGCCGGCAGCGTGGGGATGATCGACGACTGATGCCGGATCGCGGCGATCGTCTGCGGCGGTGCGTGAGCAGCGTGCTGGGTGAGCATCAGCGTGAAGCTTACCTTGGCGGCATCGGGGCCTGAGATGCGCTTCTCCAGCTCGGTGCGTAGCTTCGCCTGCAGTATCGCGCCGGAGAGCGCCACGCCGACGACCTGGCCCGACGTGCGGAAGAGATACGACATGGCCGTGGCGACCTGTGAGAGTGTGAGCAGGCCGCGTGCGATTGCGAGACCTGGCTGCTCACCGCAATGTCCTCGCGCGGCACCGAGTTGATGAGCCTGCATCGCAGCGTGAGCAGGTGTGCAAATCCCGCGCTACCAGCATACTCACGCGATCAGCGTGCAGGTGAGCACGCCCGACACGCCCACGCCGCTCGGCACGATGCCAGCATACGTCAGCCACTCCGGCGTGCCCGCGGTGAAGCTGAGCACGATGAGCGAGCCGCCCAGCATCAGGCCCGCGTGGACGAGGTTGTATGCCCAGTAGACGCCGCGCCAGCGCATGTACAGGCCCGCCGTGACAGACGAGACGCTGAGGCCGATCGAGTTGGGGATCAGGTGCAGGCCCGCCTCAGAGGCCGACTGCAGCTTCACGGCCTGGAACCAAAGCGGAAAGTTGTACAGCAGCGCAAACGACATGACGGCCTGCAGTGCGGGTCAGTCTATCGTGCTGCAACTCTCAGCCCGCGCTACTCACCAAGGCAAAGTTGGCCAGCGCGACACTGCCGCCGGTGCGCTGCAGCAGCAGCGGGATCGGCAGAATGGGCTTGCGCGCGACCCACAGCTCGACGCACACAAACGCGACGGCACTCGCGGCGCCCGCGACTAGGCCGCCCCACACCACCGGCTCGCTGAAGCTCAGGTCCTGCGCCGACATGAGCGAGAGCGAGATCAGCGAGCTGCCGACGGTGCCGACGAGAAAGAGCGAGCCGAGGCCGTCGATGAGCAGCAGCTTGTCCGTCCAGCCGAGGCCGGCCAGCGGCGACGGCTTGGGGGGCTGGTTTGGCGGGCTCAGCGGTACGAACAGGGCCGCAACGAGGGCCACGCCGAGGATCGGCATTTGCACTGCGCAGCATGTCAGTGTGGCAAGTGCACACGCAGCCCGTGCTACTTACGCATGAACGCGCTGCGCCAGCCCAGCTTGTCGTTGGCAAAGCCGCCGACGGGTCCGCCAAGGCCGCTGCCCAGGCCGAAGATGATGTTGCTGTGCGAGCCGGGTGAGCACGCAGCAGCGGCAGTCTCCTCGGCCCACTCACGTCAGGCCCTGCATGAGGCCGCGATGCCGCAGCGGGATCACATCGCTCATGATCGTGCTGTTGACCACTGCCAGGCCGCCGCCGCCGACGCCGGCGAGACCGCGGGCCGCGATGAGCTGACCCATGCTCTGCGCCACGCCGCAGCCGAACGTGCCCGTCACGAAGAAGGTGAGCGCCGTGAGCAGCGCGCGACGCCGGCCGATGATGTCGCACAGCCGCTAGAAGACAGGGGTAAGCACATGAGCTGGTGTTCGATACTGCGGCTCGCCGGACGCGCCGAGAGAGACAGCAGGCCATAGTCTCGTCCACACTGTCGGTCTCGGTCACATATAGCCGCCAGTTGGCGCAGCTGCAGCACATCCCAGCCACCGCTTTGCCTTGCGCCCACCACCAATCCTCATCGTGGCAGCTGCCACGGCAGCGCTCCCTCGACTAGTCCACGCCGCCGGGCCTGCCATCGCGCGACCAAGCGTCTAAGCTGCCGCACTTGCCCCCCATTCTCCACGGCCGCTGCCTTTCCGCACACTCACCCCGTAGATCGGCGTGAAGCAGCACACGCTCAGCAGATAGCTGCTGCCGAGCCACGCGGCCTGCTCGCTGGCCTCAAAGTCGCTGGCAATGCTACCGACGAGCGTGGCGACGACGGTGCCGTCGAGCGAGGCGGCAAACACGGGCACCCAGATGGTGAAGAGCAGCGGCAGCAGCACGCGCAGCGGCGGGAACGGCACGTCCGTCTCGCCGTGCGCCGAGGGAGCGGGCTCGGAGGCGGAGCCGGGCTCGGCGGCGCCCTCGGGCTGCGCTGCGCCGTAGCGCGGCTGAGCATCGCGGCTCTGCTGCGCCAGAAGCGGCGCCTGCTCGGCGGTGCGCGACATGGCTGGGTGCTTGAGGAGCGGTGGTGGAGGTGTGAGAGGCGGCCAGCTCGTGTGAGCGCGCCAAGGCCCAGGCACAAGTTGGCGGCGCGGCGTGGGAACGGCAGAGTCGCGCTCTCGCCGCCGTCCCGCTGCCTCCTTCGCACCTTCGCAGCTCTCCACTCCACTCCACGTCCACCCCGCTCACTGCCCAGCATGGCCTCGCTGCGCAGCCTCACTGGCGCCTTCCGCGCCCTCGCCATGCCGTCCGGCGCCAGCTCGTCGCGCGTGGCGCTGCAGCCGGCACGCTTCGCCCCGCTGCGCCCGTCTCTCGCGCCGCCGCACTTGGCGATGCCCGACGCCGTGCGGTGTGCCAGCAACCTGGCGCCGCGCCGCACCAAGTACCGCAAGGCGCACAAGGGCGTGAGTGCGAAGACCAGGCGTCGTGCTCTGCCTGCGCTGACCCTTCTCCAGCGCGTGCCCATTCCCATCGGCGGCTCGCTCAAGGGCACCACGCTGGCCGAGGGCGCCTATGGCCTGCGCCTGCTGGCGCCTGCGCGCCTCAGCGCCAAGCAGCTGACGTCGGCCGAGACGGCGCTGAAGCGCAAGCTCAAGATCATCAAGGGCGCACAGGTCTTCATGCGCGTCTTCCCCGACATTCCCGTCTGCGTCAAGGGCAACGAGACGCGCATGGGCAAGGGCAAGGGCACGTTTGAGTTCTGGGCCTGTCGGTGAGTGCAGCAAGAGGCGTCTCGGCGTGCCATGGCGGGTCGTGCAGCAGCTGGTCGCAGCACCTCCACTAACACTCCGCCGCAGCGCACCCATCGGCCGCGTCATCTTCGAGATCGGCGGCCCCGTCGACATTCGGCCAGAGGTGGCCAAGGAGGGTGCGTGCACCGCCGTGCATGTCTCTTCCCAACTGACACGCTCTGCAGCTCTGCGGCTAGCATCGGCCAAGCTGCCCGTGCCCACCGAGTTCATCGACGCGTCAGCTGGCCCGCGCCTCGGCAGCCTCAGCGAGGTGCTCCCGCCTGCGTCGGCCGCTGCCCGGTCAGGCGCCGGCATCGTCGTGCCGGCGGGCGCGCCCGTGCCGCCGGCATAGGGAAGGAACAGCATAGGGCTTGCACAGGGTGCACGGGTAATCTAGACAGGTCCGACAGACCAGCGCGCGCGGCACAGGGGTGGCTGCTACGGGTGTGCGAGGCATCAGAACGTGGCGCTGCCGTTGAGCGGCGAGGCGACGCCGCCGGGCAGGTTGAGCGGCCAGGCAGAGAAGAAGAACGTCCACCGCCGCTGCGCGGCACAGTGCGCCGCCAGCGCCTGCAGGTCGACCATCTCGAGCTGCCAGAAGGACGTCAGCCGGAGGGCGAGTCAGGACGGCGTGGACACGCACAATCGGCAGGCCGAACAGGCCGAGCAGCGTCTCGTGCAGGTACGAGTGGCCGAGCGGCGGCGGCCACTGGAGACGTGTCAGCGCCGGGCAGAGTGGGTGTGCGGCCGGCACTCACGCTTTCGAATGCGGGTGCGTCGCCGCCGACTGTACTGCGGAGTCAGTCTGTGCCAGCCGGAGCATTGTGCGTCGGGCGTCTCACCAGCAGCGAAGTGCTGTGCGCATGCAGTCTGATCAGCAGAGCGCCGCAAGTGCTCGCTCGGCGCCACTCACATTGTTCCACAGATACTCGGCCATGTCCTCGCCCTGCGCCAGACCGGCAAAGCGCTCCTGGCCCTTCTGGCCCCAGTGCTGCTTCTCAAGGCCCGAGGCGCTGGTGTAGCGCTCGATGAAGCCGCTGCGCACAAGCAGGATGTCGCCCTGCACGCATGGGCTCAATGGCAGCTCATGGCGCAGCTCGCACGTCACGCACCTTGTGGAAGCGGTTGACGCCCTGCGCGCGTGCGGCCTCCTTCAGCATGGCCAGCGTGATCGGGAACGTGGTGCACGGATCTGGCAGAGGTCATCAGCTGCGCGGCCAAAGACGGCCACACTGTGCCACTCACCCCACGGGTCGCGCCCGCCATTCTTCTGCTTGAAGTAGCCCCACACGTCGATGAGCACGCCGCGGCCCTGGATGCTGTCGTGCGGGGTGATCAGCTGCAAGGCTAGCTGCATTGGCAGGCCTTGACCCACCCGTGCTGCGCCCACGCCTGCACGCCGAGCTGTGTGCCCTGGCTGCCGTCCTGCTTGCCGAACGCGAGGTCGGCCTGCTTGACGCCTTGGTAGTAGCAGTTCAGGCCGAGATGGCCAAAGTGCTGCACAGCAGAGTCAGCGGGGCACCGACAAGCACGCACTCTGGACTCACCCTGAAGCCGTCGATCTGCGTGCCGCTTTGCGTGTTCATAAAGACGGTATCGTCGGCAAGCGGGGCCGCGCTGGGGTCTGCATGCGCAGTCAGCACAAGCGTCCTGGTCAGGCACTGCTGCACGCACCGTTCGGGTCCGAGCGGTCCTCGACGCCGTGTCCGGCGGCGTTGAGGCGCGCGATGCTGGCGCTGCGGCGCTCGACGTACGCCGGCGACGTCTTGGCGTTGATGCTGTGCTGCATGCACGCGCGGCCGAAGAAGGGCACGTCGGGCATGTTCAGCGCCCAGTTGAGCGAGATGGCGACGCCGCTCTTGATCTCCTCGCGCGCCGTGCGCGACACGACCTCGGGCGTGAGCAGGTTGATGGTGCCGAGCTCGTCGCCCTTGCCCCACACGTCCCACGCGCAGCCGGAGAAGCCGCCCTCAGTTGGCAGGTCTGCGTAGCTGCGGAGGCGGTCAGTCGAAGTGCGGTCGACGCTGCTGCGTGTGCAGCAGAGAAGGCACTCGCAGCAGGTGCGACACCTTCGCAGACCTCGCGCGTGCGCCAGCCAGCACGCTCGCGCCTTTTGTCGAGCAGCGTTGCGTCTTGCTCTGCACTGCGTCTTGCCCTTCCATTCCCTCCGTGCACTGACTCACGCCGGCATGTGGCTCCAGTCGCTGCGGCGCAGCGTGCGGTGCGGCAGCTGCGGCAGGCTCTGCGCGGCGCCGCTCGTGGCGCTGGCCAGCTGGCCGGCGATGGCGGCGAGGCGGTGGCGTGCCGACTCGGGCTGCGGGTGCGCCGCATCGGTGGCGCCGGCGTCGTGGGCGTGGTGGTGCTCGCGGTGCGAGCGTGCGAAGGACGGCACGACGGCGGCGGGCGTGCGTGTGACGACGGCGCCGAAGCGCTCGGCGATGCTGCGGTGCCGGTGGTGGTGGTGCTGCTCGCCGGCGTGCTTGTCGCCGCTGCTGCTGCTGCTTCCGGCGTCGTGCGGCATGGTGTCGTGTGCGGCGGTGGTGGTGGGTGCGGAGTGCGTGAGGCGTTGCGCCCGCTGTCTGTCTCCGCTTCCGGCTCTGGCGCTCGCCGCGCTCTCGGGTCTGTGCGCACTCCGCCCCGCGCCGCCCGGCAAGTGGCCTCCGCCTGGAACGCCGGCAGAGCTGCACGTCGCCGGCTACGCCGATCTTTGTCGCACACACCCGAGACTTCAGCCGCTGTGCTGCTGTGCTCACACTCGAGCGCTCTGCTGCTGCGGCCTGCCCCTCGGCGGCACCTCTACCCCGCACTCTGGGCGCGCCGAGGGGCGGGAAGCGGGAATAAGGCGTGGCGCCGGCCCAGCTTCTGGAGCAATCGGTGCAGCGCGCCGCGAAGGTCGCTTGCTGCCAGCGCACGGTTGCGCTATCTTGATGCGCGCTCGCCCCACTCCTTCTCGCTCCCCACCCCTTCAACCCGCCAGCCATGCCTGCCGCCGCCGACGAGCGCGCCCCGCTGCTGGGCCAGCGCAGTGCCGACGAGCCCGCCGAGGCGCCGCGCGGCTTCGTCGCCCGCACGCGCGCCCACCTCGCGCGCACCTTTGCGCCGCTGGCGTCGCCGCAGACGCTGCGCCCGCTCGAGCGCTTCCTGCTCTTCCTCGTGCTCGCGCTGCTGCTCACCGCCGCCGTGCTGGGCGGCCTCTTTGCCGGCGCGCGCGCCCACCACCCGCCGCACCCGCACCGGCACCCGCCGCATGGCCCGCCGCACCCGCCGCACCCGCCCCACGGCCCGCCGCCGCCGCCGCATGGCCCGCACCCGCACGGCCCGCCGTGCACAACGGCCGACTGCGTGCGCACTGCCGCCGACCTGCTGCGTGCCATCGACACGACTGCCGACCCGTGCGACGACTTCTACCAGTACGCCACCGGCGGCTGGCGCGAGGCGCACCCCATCCCCGCCGACGCCGCGCTGTACGGCATGGCGCAGGACATCACCAAGACGAACGCGGCCGTCATCCAGCGCCTGCTCAACGAGGCGCCTGATGCTAAGGTGAACACCGCGGACGACAGTGAGAAGGCCATCGACGCACGCAACATCGCCAAGCTGCGCGACTACTACACCAGCTGCACCGACCGCGCGGCCCAGGACGCCGCCGGCGCCAAGCCGCTGCTCGACGTTGTCTCGCACCTGCGTGCGCTGTACCGCACTGGCGCCGCCGAGCGCGAGCCGGTGCAGCACAGCCCGGTGCCTGGCAGCGAGCCGGCGCCGCTGCCGCCGCAGGCGGGCCGTCAGCAGGGCCTGACGGAGGCGCTCGCCTGGGCACACGCGCGTGGTGAGTGGTGTGGCATGACATGCAGCTTCGGCGGCAAGAGTTGACCCTCTGTGCAGGCATGATGGCGTTCTTCAGCTGGACGATCCAGGGCGAGCCCGTCAAGGACCCGACGTTCGCCACGCCGTGGCTCCAGCCTGACGGTCTCGGCCTGCCGAACAAGGACTACTACACGGACAAGGACGAGACGGACTTCTACCGCACGGTCGTGGCCGATGCCCTCGTGGCCCTGGCTGCCGCCGAGCAGGACAGCCTCAGTGCGGAGAAGAAGCAGCGCAAGCCCGAGTCGGAAAAGAAGATCCGCGCGCGCGCCGACGCCGTCGTCGAGCTCGAGATCGCCCTTGCCGCCATCACGCCCGAGAACGAGGACCTCGAGGACCCGCTGGGCACATACAACCCGACGTCGTTCGCCGAGCTCTCGCGCAATCTCTCCTCGCTCGAGGTGGCCACGTACTTCCACGACCTCGGCGCGGCACGCCCGGAGTCGATCAACGTGCTCTCGCCGCGCTTCGTGCGCCGCCTCGACAGCCTCATCAGCCGCACGCCCGACGACGTGCTCGAGGCGTACCTTGTGTGGACGGCGATGCGCACGCTCGGCCTGGCGCTGGGCCCCAATGTGCCGCTGCGGCGCCCGCTCGACGCTCTCGACCGGCGCAGCAAGGGCATCGGCGCCGACGCGACCGAGGACCGCGCCACGTTCTGCCAGAACTCGCTCAACGACGTGCTCGGCTTCCTCACGGGCCGCTTCTTTGTCGCCGACAGCTTCCCGCCGCAGAGCAAGGAGAAGGCCGAGCTCATCATCCACAACATCATCCGCGCCTTCAAGAGCCGCCTGCCCGAGCTCGCCTGGCTCGACGACGCGACGCGCGCACGCGCCGAGCGCAAGGCCGATGCTATCCGCATCAAGGTCGGCTGGCCCGAGAGCCCGCAGACGAAGGACGCCGGCGCCATGGAGCGCTTCTACGCCGACTTCGACGTCAAGCCCAAGGACTTCTTCGGCAACGTCGCGCGCAGCCTCGCCCGCGGTGTCCGCCACGACTGGGCCGCCGCGGGCAAGACGCTCGACGCCAAGGCCTGGGAGATGATCCCTTCCGAGGTCAACGCGTACTACACGCCGCTCGCCAACGAGATCGTCTTCCCCGCCGGCATCCTGCAGCCGGCGTACTTCTCGTACCGCTGGACCGACGCGCTGCAGTACGGCGCATTTGGCTCGTGAGTGAAGCTCCTCTGGCCATTGCACTACCATCCGCCTTCCCGCACCTCCGCTGACATCCGGCGGGCAGAGTCGCCGGACACGAGACATCGCACGCGTTTGACCCATCAGGACGCCTCTACGATGAGGACGGAAGGCTCAAGAACTGGTGGAGTGACGAGACTGCCGCCCGCTTCGACGAACGCAAGAACTGCATCATCGACTGGTACGGCAAGTGAGTAGCAAGGCTGGTCCCCCGTGCTGTGCTTCGTATTCACCACCTCCCTGCAGGCAAACCATCCCCGATGGCAAGGGCGGCGAGGTGCGTGCCGTTTGATCCCGCAACGCATCTAGTCACCCGAAGCTGACCCTACGCGCACGCACAGCTGCACCTGCGCTCCAAGTACACGATCGGCGAGGACATCGGCGACCTCGGCGGCCTGGCCGCCAGCTGGCGCGCATGGCAGGAGAGCCTCAAGACGCCGGGCGCCGCCGAGCGCAACCCGGCGCTGCCGGGCCTCGAGCACCTGTCCAACGAGCAGCTCTTCTACCTCGCCTACGCGGTCGGATGGTGAGTGGCCCGGCCTCTGCTCGCTGATCCCGTTCTCACATGACGCTGTGCACCACAGGGCCCGCAACCTGCGCCAATCTGAGGCCATCCTGCGCTGGCGCACCGACCCGCACTCGCCGTGCGTACGCCCTGACCGCTGCCTGTCCACACCACGCTCACTCCACACCCTCAGAACCAAATTCCGCGTCAACGCCGCTCTCGCCAACATCAAGGAGTTCGGCGCCGCCTGGGGCTGCAAGGCCGGCCGCGACAAGATGTCGCGCGGCAATGAGTCCTGCATCATCTGGTAGACGTGCGACCGCAGCATCTGCGCTGTTGCTGAACCACGCTTCGAGGCGCCTCGAAGCGCCTCGAGCAGCAATTGAGAACTTATCGAAGCATGACATGTCTCTCATGAGTCTGCGCCGTCTACGGGCCGTGCGACAGGCCGTATGCTCGGCTCGTCGTCCTCTGCATCCCACTCCTCGCCGTCTGGCCGCAGCGGCTCGTACTCTCCCTGCGCAGCGCCTCGGTGATGCGCCTGCTCGGCGTCGAAGAGCCGCGTGGCGTCGGAGAGCTCGACGCCGGCCATCTGGTGCTGGGTCAGCATGTGTACTGGCTGACGCGAGCAGGCGGCGCACCTCGGGCAGGTAGACGTAGGTGAAGCCCCACGAGAGGGCTGCGATGCCGGCGTAGCCCCAGAAGGTGCCCTGCGGCGTGATGACTGGCGGCCAGGGTTAGCAGAGCGGTCCGAGCGCCAGCCTGCAGGCAGCACTCACGCCGTACGAGATCGAGATATGTGGCCGCGACGAGCAGGTTGCATGTCCAGTTGGTCGCCGTTGCGAGACCCCCGCCGACCTGAGGGAGACTCATGAGCGGATGTTGTGATACGCCTGCTTGTCGGCACTCACACCGCGAAGGCGGCCCGGGAAGATTTCAGACTGCACGAGCCACTGCAGAGAGAGTCAACACGCGGTGGCCAGAGTCTCGCTGCGCCCAGCACACACCGGGATGATGCCCAGGCCGAGTGCATAGCTGAAGATGAAGGCGATCATCTGCATGCACGCTGTCAGCCGTGCAGCCGCAGCATCGCCGGCCCTGGCCACTACTGACCATCACGAGGCTGACGTAGGCCCAGGCGCCGGCCTGCTCGCCCGCCGGCCCGTCGCCCTGCCCATCCACGACGTCCTTCATGCGGATCTGCCCCAGCGACACGGCCAGCATGCTCAGCGCCACGCTGGCCGCCGCCGTGGCGCCGAGCAGCAGGCGCCGCCGCCCGAGCCGGTCGACGAGGCGCAGCGCCAGGCAGGTGCCGAGAAAGTTGCCCACGGCCACGCCGAGCGCCGGCACGTTGGGGTTCGCCGAGAAGCCGGCCATGAGCAAGAGGCGCGAGGAGAAGTAGAGGCTGTGCAGCGGCGTCAGTCTTGCAGCACTGGTGTATCTTCATCTCTCAGCTCACATCGAGTTGGCGCCGCAGAGCTGCTGGGCCGCCTGCAGGCCACAGGCGAGCGCCAGCGCCCGGCGGCCGTTGCTGCTCTGGAAGAGCTCCTTGAGCGCGCCCCGCTTGTCGACCCGCTCCTCGTGCCCGCGCTCAAAGCCGCGCAGGTAGGCATCAACGGCCTCGCTGCTCGCCGTCGGATACAGCTTCACGACGCCGGCGCGCGCCTGCACATGGCGGCCGTGGGCGCTGAGCCAGCGCGGCGACTCGTCGAGCGTCCACAGCCCGGCGAGCTGCGCCAGCGCCGGCACGGCGCCGAGCAGCACCATCCAGCGCCACGAGTGCGGCAGCGTGTAGAAGAGCGCTGCGACCGCGTACGCCAGCACCTGGCCGCCCGTGACGAGCAGGCTGTTGGCGCCGACCATGCGCCCGCGCACGTCGGCCGGCGCACACTCGGCGAGGAACGTCGGCACGACCATGCTGCTCATGCCCACGCCGACGCCGACGAGCGCTCGCCCCAGCACGAGCTCACGCAGCACCTGCGACGCCGCCTGCTCGATGGAGCCGAGCGCAAAGAAGACGGACGAAACAATCATCGCCTGGCGGTGCGGGTTAGCAGAGCAGTCAGCCAGCACGACCGCTCACTGCACTCACGCTGCGGCGCCCGCGCCAGTCGGCCAGCTTGCCCGCACCCAGTGCTCCAGCGATGGCTCCGACCGTCGTGGCGCACACGAAGACGCCCTGCTCGCGTGCGCTCAGCACGTGGCCCAGGTCGCTGCGCAGCGACACGAGCATGCCCGACGCGATGCCCGTGTCGAGGCCGAAGAGCAGGCCGCCCAGCGTCGACACGAGCACGATGCGCGAGAGGTATGCGCTCGATGGCGGCCCCAGCGCTGAAAGCGGTGCGGCCTCAGCGGCAGCCTCGGCGGCGAATGCCGGCGCAGCACTCGGCTCGTCCGGGAGCGCTGCGGGCATGGTGGAGGTCGCGCTGCGGCCGGCTGGACGTGGAGGATAGGCCATGCGCGGCGCGCACGGTGCAAGCGTCTCGGTCACGCAGCAGGCCGGCCGGCGAGCGGGAAGCGGAGACGACGCGCTCAGGCAATAGGCGCGGGACAGACGTGCGAGATGGTGGTGGAGGCGGGGCAAGCTGGACGCGCGGCCGTGGTCCAGCTTCGGCGGGCGCATCGCGCCAAGCATTCTGCCATATCAGCGCGCCCAGAACGCCAGCCCAAACATCTCGGGATGACCGCAGGCACCAGACTTGCTCCACGGCACTGCAAGCTTTCCCATCGATCAGACACGAGCTCTGCGGCACCGCCCTCAAACTCAGACTGTTGCGCCGACACCACTCCTACAGTCCCAGCCGGCACCCTCGCGGGCTCACACCAGCACCCTCGCAGCTCTATCACTTCACTTCATTGCAGCGACATGCAGCCCTGCGGCACGGCGACGCGGCCGCTGAGGGACCACACGCGCTTCCGGTGAGAGCGATGCCGCAATGCACGGCTGCAGCGTCGCGTGCACTTAGTGGTGCTCGGCCTTGCCGCCCTTGAGCGCTGCGAGGGCAAGTGCGTCAGCATGAGCACGCTTCGAACGGCAGCTGGAGCGCGGGATGCAGAGAGGAGCACAGCGACAGCGCGCGACAGCGCCTGTGCCAAGACACGATGCAGAGCAGCTGAGCGTCCCACTACCACCTGCTGTGCGCCCGAGGGACGAAACGTCTCTTGCCCCCTGCATCCGGACATTCTGTCCACAGCTTCGCACAAGCTCGTTTCCGCGCTGGCCCAGTCCGCCGACTCAGTGCTGCCCATGCGACAGGTCACGCGTGCCAGCGGACACCGTCTCCCACGCGGCGACTTGCGACCGGCATGGTGGTGCGTTCCGCAGAGCTTTGCGGAGCACCGCAGCGTCGCAGCATCGCCGACACACCAGCAGCGCCCGCCCAGCTGCGGCCAGTGACGCTGCAGCAGCTACGGCGCCCTGCTGATGCATCGCGTCGAGGTCTTCGCACCAGCGCCGTCGCGCCAGGCTGTCGCGCCAGCACCTTGGCTCTTCAATAGCTGCAGCCCCGCCAGCCACCGTGCAGAGCAGTCCTCGCGCGTCTCCCGCACGTGTCTCCCGTCCGACTGTCCGCTTCTGCCCGCGTTCGCTCCCCACCACCTTTGCCCGCGCACACACGCACCGTACGGGTTCTTGGGGTTGGCCTTTGCCTCGGCGGTGCTGACGCCGGCGTTCTGCATGGCGCTGACGCCGAAGAAGACGATAACGCTGGCGGCCATGAAGGGCCAGAGCGGCTTGACGATGGGCGTGGGGTAGCTGTGTGCGAGCATGCGCATGGACGAGGGTGCAGCAGGGAGCGGCAGCGGAGCAATGGCGGGCGGAGAGGGCAGGGCGGGAAGCAGCAGGTCAGCAAGCGCCACGTGACGGCGCCTCCAGCGAGCGAACGCACGGCTTAAGACCGAACATGGCGACGACGAGAGGTGCGGAGAGGTGAGGGTGCGGTGGGGAAGAAGGCCGCCGGCGCCTGGCCGGGACGCGGCGGCGCTGCTGGCGCGGCGCGGCGCTCGGGCGGCGACGGCTGGCAGCGCACGCGGCGCACGTGACGCGCAGGTCCGACTACAATCCGCGCTGTGTGCGCGCCAGTTGTAGTCGGCCGCGCCTCCACACTGCTGCCCGCTCGGCTGACTGCATCCTCGCTCCGCACCATCAGCACACACCTCAGCCATGTCGCCCGTCCCCGCACCACCCACGCAGGAGCGCCCCGCCACGCCGACGCAGACGCCCGCCGGCGCCGCAGCCGCGCCCGACGAGGCCACCGCCGCGGCGCCCAGCATCGCAGAGGCCGCCACCGAGGCCGCGCACGCGACGCAGCAGGGCGACGCCGCTCAGCCGCAACGGCCGCCGGCCAGCGCCGCAGAGCTGCCGGCTGCGGCACTTGACCTGGCCGCACGGGTGAGTGCAAGAGCGTAGCTGGAGGAAAGGCGGGATGCGTCCAGGCAGTGCCTCTCGTCGTGGCTGGGTGTTGTACTGCAGGCCACGAGCTAGGGTGACCGCATTGGCTCGAGCCTCATCTGCGCACTCCACATCGTTGCTCCATGCACACGCGGCTCACACCATCGCCCACAGCTCTTCCAGATGGCACGCACAAACGACGCGCAGCTGCTCGATTACATCCGCGCCGGCGTGCCGCCCAACATGCTCAACAACCGCGGCGACTCGTTCCTCATGCTCGCCGCGTACCACGGGCACACCGACCTCGTGGCGCCGCTGCTCGAGCTCGGCGCCGACGCCAACCAGCTCAACGGGCGCGGCCAGTCGTGTGTCGCCGGCGCCGTGTTCAAAGACTTTCCCGAGGTCGTGCGCGCCCTCATCGCCGGCGGCGCCGACCCGCTCGCCGGGCAGCCCAACGCCGAGGATACGGCACGCATGTTCAACAAGCTCGACGGCGACGCCGGCTTTGCGGCGCTCTTTGCGCAGGCACCCGGCCGCGGTGCCGGCAGCACACCGGCGCCGGCGGCCGTCGAGGACCGCGAGGAGGCGCGGCGGGTGCCTGGCAGTGGGCCTGTCGGAGAGCAGCCGGCGCCTGCCAGCGGGTGATGCGCTGGGTGCGTGGCCAGGCACGTAGCAATACCATCAGACGAGCTTCTCTGTGCGTCTGACGTCGCGCCCCGAGCCTGCGGGTGGCGATGTTGGTGCGCCTAGCGGCGGCGCAATGGAGGCGGCGTAGAGGCCCATCGGGTCTTCGGCGCGCGGCTTGTGCGTTGGGAGGCCGAGCGAGCGTCGCAGCTAAACAGCAGCGGGTCAGCAAAGGTGCATGTCTGTGCGTTTGAGAAGAGCGAACACGAGCAGCACGAGCAGAAGATGTATACTGCGCATGCTCTAGAGCGAGTGTGATGGCACAGGTGCTGCCGCTATCCGTCTGCGCAAGCTCCTCGCAGCCCGCGCCTTCCCGCAGAGTGTACTCACGCCGCTGAAGACATGCTCGCGCGGGCCAAAGTCGGCGAGCAGCACGAGGTAGGCGCAGGCCGTGCCGCCGATGACGGCCGCCAGGACGTTTGCGCGGCGCTGCCACGGCGCTGGTGCCGGAGCGACGTCGCCGCCCTGCGCGTACACGGCGGGCTGAGCGACGCGGCGGAAGTAGGCGTCTCGGCGCGCTGGCGGCGCCGGCGGGTGCCGCGGCGCCGTGGGCGAGGCGAGCGACTGCGGAGCGGCCCACGGCGAGGCGCCGGGCGGCGGGCGGGGTGTGCCGCGGCGAGGCGGCGGCGTAGTCATGATGGTGCGAGGATGGTGAGGAGGGAAGGAAGGGCCCGGCGCCGCGATGCGCTGCTGCTGCCTCGGCCTTGTCTCTTGCCGTGCGGCGCGCTTCGGCCGCAAAGCCGCGCCCGCTGCGCCTACAAAAAGCTGCGCCGCGCCGCGCTGACTTCACTTGCCGCCGCTCCTCCGCCACCCGCACCCCTCATTCGCCTCACCGGCCCGCCATGTGGCCATTCGCCTCCAGCAGCAGCACGGCGCAGCCCGCAGACGAGTCGGCGTGCCCCGTCGATGCGCAGACGCGCGCCGCCTGGCTCGCCAGCAACCCGCAGGGCGCCGCCGGGCCCTCGAGCGCCGGGCCGTCGTCGCCGGGCGCCGCCGCCGTGACGCCGCAGCAGCGGCGCGACTTCCACGCGCTCTCGACGCAGCGCGAGGTCTCGTCGATCCCGCGCTTCTCGCGCGCCGGCGCGCCCGACGCCGGCGGCAGCGAGCCCGACGAGTCGCGCAACTGGGTCTACCCCTCGCCCGCGCAGTTCTTTGCCGCCATGGCGCGCAAGCAGCAGGACCCGCAGGCGCCGGACATGGACATCGTCGTGCCCATCCACAACGCCGTCAACGAGCGCGCGTGGCGCCAGATCTGCGACTGGGAGGCCGGCTGGGACGCGTCGGCGCAGGCGCGCTGCGGCGGGCCGCAGCTCGTCAGCTTCAAGAACCGGCAGACGGAGCGCACGTGGCGGGCGTGGGGGCGCGGCCTGATGGGGTGAGTGCTGGACCTATCTCGGTGGCAGCTGGGCGGACGGCGCGGTGCAGCTTGTCACGCGGTGCCACCATCCCTGCTGACGCTGAGCGCAGCTATGCGGCGCCGTTCGACCGCCACGACTGGATCATCGATCGATGCGGCACGCGCGTGCGCTACATCATCGACTTCTACTCGGGCGCGCCTGCTTCTGATCTCGCCGGCGCTGCCGCGGCTGCCGGCGGTGGCGGCGCGCCGGCGCGCTCGCCGATCAGCTTCTACCTCGACGTGCGCCCGGCGCCGGACCTCGAGGGCATCAAGATGCGCGCGCACCGCCTCTTCCTGCGGCCAAATTGAGGGCATGATCTATGTGCTGGCATTGTGTGACGTTGAGTAGTGTACAGTGGGGTGTGGGGCATCAGAGCGGCTGCGGCGAGTCGCCGGGGCCGAGCATGGCGTCGAGCGTGTTGGAGCGGCACTCCTTGAGGAAGCTCACGAGGTCCGTGCCGCCCGTGCCCTTGGGCGCGCCGGCAGCCGGCGGCGGCGTGGCAAGCGTCTCGAGCGCCGGCGCCGCGGCGGGCGCACCGGCGAACGAGGCGGGCAGGACGGCGTACTGCGCCGGCGGCGGGCGGCGGGCCTGCGAGATGATGTAGAGCGTGGCGATGCGCATGTGCTCGTCGCGCAGCTGGCGCAGCGAGACGAGCGCGGCGTCGTACGCCGCACGCAGGCCGTCCTGCTTGCCGGCCGGCGGCGTGGCCAGCGCCAGCGTGCGGATGGGGTGAGACGGCGCCGGCGGCAGCGCATCCTCGTCGTCGTCCGAGGTTCCTGACGCCGACGCGGCGTCGCTCTCGGTCGGCTCGGGCGCCGGCGGGCCGTCGGGCGAGTCGTCGAAGGAGAGGTTGCGCAGGTGTGTGAGGAAGGCGCGGTGGTGGCCCGGCATGTACAGCTGCATGCGCTCCATGAACGTGGCGTTCTGGGTCGCACCGGCCTCGGCCTCGTCGTGAGCGTCGGCGGGCGCGGCGGGCGGGCCGCGGCGGCGCAGCGGCGGCACGGGGCGGTTGACGCGCGGCTTCGTCTGCGAGTGGTCGACGTCGAGGAAGACGTCGAGCGCGTGGATGAGCGACGACTGGCCGGCGCTCGGGCCGGTGAGGCGGCGGTGCGTGCCGGGCGCATCGACGCCCTCGTAGTGCCAGCCGCCGCCGTCGGCGCCGCGGAACCAGGGGCGGATGCCCCAGTAGAACGTGGCCGGGTCGCAGTGCGCGCTCATGCTGCGCAGCAGCGCACGCAGCTCGTCGACGACGGCGGCAATGCGGCGCAGATACGCGGCAATGCGCCGGCGCGCCAGCGCGTCGGCGACGAAGGCCTCGTCGAGGCTGACGCGCATCAGCTTGAGCGCCTCGACGCCGCGCAGCTCGATGGCCAGCGAGACAAAGTAGAAGTGCTCCTCGGAGCGCGTGCCGGTGAATGTCGTGGCGATGCGCATGTTGTCCGGCGTGAGGCCGCGCGCCTCGTCGACGAGGTACCAGTTCCACAGCACCGTCGTGGCGTACGTGAGGATCGGCGGCAGGTCGAGGTGCTGCGACACGGCCACCCACGGCACGGCCAGCGGCGCCGGCACTGTCTCGGCGTACACGCCGCGCGCCTCGGCATCAGCGTCGGCGGCGTCGGCAGCATCGGCGGGCGACGGTGCGGCGCTCAGGAAGCTGCGCCACGTGCGCGGCGCCGGGCGTGCGCCGACGGCGGGTGCGGGCTGCGAGTGCAGGTAGAAGTGTGCGAGGAAGGAGAGGACTAGGTGGGCGCGGCGCGCGTGGCGCACATCGCCGAGGAGCAGCGGCGAGAGCGGCAGCACGGGCAGCTGCGCAGCGTCAGCATGGGCTCCAGTCATAGAGGTCCAGCGCGGCTCACCTCGCGGATGCTACGGCGCCACGCGCGGGCGGCACGGCGCTGCGTGGCATCGACGGCGGCGCCACCGGCGCCCTGCATGAGCGGCAGGCGCTGGGCGGCGTCGAGCAGCTCCTCCCACGCCTCGTACTCGCCGCCGAGGCGGCGCAGCGGTGCCTCGGGCGGCAGGAAGCCGCTGAGCACGTCGACGTCGAAGTCGGCTGCGGCGACCTGGTGTGACGTGAGCTCGGTGTGTACGCAGAGGCGGCCATTGCACGACTCACCGTGCTCGTGTCGGGCATGGCACCGTCGGCGGGCGCCGCACGCAGCGGCGTGGGGCCGAGCAGCGCAGCGGCGGGCATGCCGGCGGGCAGCGCCTGCGCCAGCTCGGCGAGCGGCAGCGCATGTGCCGGCAGCGGCGGCGGCGACGCCTCGCGGCGCGGCTTGAAGGCGCCCTGCTGCGCGAGGAAGTGGCTCGGCGGCACGGCCCAGTCGAGCGTCGCCGCATGGCTGGGGCCCGCGGACGACGACGACGACGACGACGACGACGACGACGATGCGGCGGCGTTGAGCATGGCAGCGGCGGAGGTGGTGGTGCGGAGGAGAGATGGGCGAAATGTGCGGCGGCCGCAGATTGCCGGACGCGCGCGGCGCTTCTTAACCTCAGCCGCCGTCCGCCGTTGGCTCGCAGGCCGCCCGTGATAATCCGGCCGCGGCGATCGGCCGCCCGCCGCGGCCGCCGCGCATGCCGCCCGCCGCCTGTTCCCACGCGCTGCAAGCCGGAGGCGCACGCCGCGGCCCGCGCGGGGGCGGGGCGGTGCGTGCTCCCACGGCAACGCCATCGCAAGCCTGCGCTGGGCAACGGCAAGCGCCTTGCAGCAGCCGGCGGAGGCCCGGTCGCTGTCTGCACGGCATGCTGCAGCAGCTCCCCCCACCGGGCTGGCAACCGGCCCCACACAAGCAGGCCACGGAGTAGGAGGTCACGCATCGCATTCGTCACGGGCCACGGCAGAAGGAGGGGCGCACTTCCCTACTGGAAGTCCATCACGAGGCGGCCCATGAGACTCTTGGACTTGTAGTGCTCGATCTGCGATTGGGCATCAGCGGAGTGCGCCGGGCGCGTCTGCGGCGCGAGGCTCACCATGTCGTTGATCTGCTCGACACGGTACGTCTTCTCGACGTACGTCTCGCACGAGTTGTCCGCGTGCAGCTTCAGCATGCTCTCGATCTCCTCGGGAGAGCAGATCAGGCGGCCACGCAGCTGCTGTTCACAGAAGTTGAGCGCAAAGCTGTCGACAAGGAACTGCACGCGGGAGAAGTCAGCGCGATGTGCCGAAGGCGAGTGGACGTGCGGGCGACGCACCGGTCCATCGGCAGGCTGCAGGGGAGGGAGAGGAGCAAGATTTGGCGGTGAGCACGCGCACAGCAGTGACAGCGGCGCAGGCGCGTCGGCACTCACGAGGCCCACGTCGACGATGATGCCGCCCTTGCGCAGGAGCTTCTGGCTCCAGAGCACGAGGTTCTTGTCCTCGGCGCAGATGACGACGCGGTCCACGCCCGCGTTCGTCTCGTGGAAGGCGCCGCCGAGCTCCTTGGCGACGCTCTCCTTGCTCTCGTCCGAGTCGATGAGGCGCGTCTCGTCGGGCTGCAGGTGCTTGGGCGCCTTCTTAAGCACTTCGAGGCCCTCCTGGCGGTTGTCGACGGCTACGACGTTGCTGCGGCGGGAAGGCGGCGTCAGCCGGAGCTGGAGACTGACCACAGCGACACTCACACCCCAAGCGCTCGCGCATATTGACAGCCAAGGTGTCCGAGACCGCCGCATCCGACGATGGCGACCCACTGGCCCTTCTTCAGGTCGGCGGCCATGAGCGCGCCGTAGACCGTAGCGCCGGCGCAGAAGAGCGGGGCGGCCGAGACAAAGTCGATCGAGTCGGGGATGCGCGTCACGACGCGGGCATCCGCCTTCATGTACTCGGAGAAGCCGCCGTCGATCTGGCAAGGCGGCGTGAGCATGTGGGGGTGGGTGGCTTGAGCGCGCGGCTCACCGTCAGGCCGAGCAGGCCCTTGATGTTCTCGCACAGCTGCTTGCCCTGGCGACAGCTCGAGCAGGCACCACAAAATCCAAACGTGTTCGTCGAGCCGACGCGGTCGCCAATCTTGATCTTGCCCTCCTTCTCCGCGTCGGGGCCGAGCTCGACCACCAGCCCAGCAGGCTCGTGGCTACCCACGAGGCCGCTGTGGGCGCCTTGAGCTTCGTAGACCCCATCACAGACTTGCAGGTCTGTGTGGCACCAGCCTGCGGCCTGAATCCTGCGATTGAGGTGTGAGCACAGCTGCGGCGATGCCGAGGCGTGTGCGGCTCACTTAATGAGGCACTCGTGGCCCTCGAGCTTGCTGGGCACGTCGATCGTCTCGCACGCCATGGGCTGCTTGAACTGCGTGATGCGCGCCGCCTTCATCTGCTTGGGAATGTCGGGCGTCATGGTGGGGTGCTTGGGGGTGGTGGTGGTGGCGAGACAAGGGCGCAGCGGCGAGGCCCAGCGCTTATGAGGTTGGCGGCGCAGCGTGGGCCGGAGGGTCGCGCCGTTGCAAACGCCTCTTGCTGCGAGCGCAAGCGGCAGTTGCGCTTCCCGTTCAGGGTGCAGCCGTCGTCATGGCAACGAGGGCAGGTGGAGCAAGGCGCGTCACTGCCGCCGCCGCGTGGCGCACGTGCCGCGCCCGCGCGGATCGTCTTGTACCGCTATACAAGGAAGGCTGCAGCGCTGGCTCCTCGCCTTTGAGAATTGCCGCTGCATGCGATGTGTCTTGCCACGCCGAGCGCTGTGCCGATTTGCCCTGACGGTTGCCGGGCGTGGTCAGCGGCGCAGGACGCCGCGCCAGATGCAGATGCGCGTGCACGGCTGTCGCGCGACAGCTCCACATCGCGCCAGGGTCCAGCGCGGTGCAGGCGTGCAGGCCGCTGTCAGCCGCCACCGCCCAGCCTCCGCCATCGCACCAACTGCTGATGCTGCAACTGCTGGCAAGGCCAAGCGACGCAGGAATGCGGAGATCGCCGAGATGCGGCGCCTGTCGGTGGCGCTGCTCCCACGTTTACGCACCCGGCACTGCCCCTCGCATCCCGTGTCCTGCCGCGGCGTCCCCAGGCTGAGACTGCGAGACGGCATGCGTGTGTGCCGAACCGTTTGTGCGCACAATCTTCTCCTGCTACTGCTCGACCCGATTGCAGAGTCCGCTGCCACCTTCACCGCTGGGCGCATCTCACTGCATCTTTGTCTGGCAGCGAAGCACGCGACGGCGGATCGCGCGCTCGGTCCCCTGACGCCCCCGCCCCGCCCCCTGAGCAGCGCGCTCGGACCTTCTTCCTGCGGCGCCAGCAGCCGTGCTTCACACCACCACACCTCTCCGAACATGCGCGTATATCTCGCCCCGCTTGCGCTCCTCGCTGCATCGTCCACCGCCGCCGCGCCCGAGTCGCTCGCCGAGGTGCGCGCCGTTTTGGCCACCATGCAGCGCGGTATCCTATACAGCACTCTGGCCCGCGCTGCGCTGCCGGTGACAGCCGACGCACGCAGCGACGAGGCAGCAGCCGTGAGGAGCGCTTTCCAGCTCAGCGGACTCGACGCGCCTGCGCCCTTTGTCGGCTCGCCGGCGTACCCCTTCATCTCGGTGGCCCGCACGCCCGCCGTGGCGCAGCGCTGGGGCGACAATCGCGGCAACAGCACCGGCGTGTCGCTCCTCGACGCCTACTACGACGAGCTCCTCAACGCCACGGCCCGCAGCCCACCAGCGCCGTTCACGAACTCGGCGCCGCTCGCCGCACACGCATCGGCGCAGCTACTGACGCTTTGCGCTGTCCGAATCTCCAAAGGCAACGACGTGGCGCTCTCAAAATTAGCCGCAGCGCCGCGAACCTTCTGTCCCCTCCTCGTCAGCCCGGCGCCCAATGCAACGGCCATCCGCGAGGCGCTCACCGTGCCGGCGCAGGAGGCCGCGGTGCTGGCGTCCGTCGGCGCCCAGGCGGCGCTGTGGAGCTCGGCAGCCAATATGTCTGCGCCGCTGGATGCGCCAAGCGTCAATGCCTCGACGCCGTCGGCTGTCGTGCCCGAGCGTGTGCAGCAGCTGTTCAGCGAGTGAGCTGCATTGCGATGCGCGCGCCACGACTACACGCTGACACTATCCAGTCATCTTATCGCGATCACCACGGATTATGAGGTCTACACGCTCCTCGCCCTGGACGACGCCACGCTGGCGGACGCCTGCGCGCAGATGCTGTAATGATGAATCGCGCCACGACAAGAGACACGCGCCGCAGCTACTCTCCCGGCGTAAAGACGCGCGTGCGCACAGCCTTGGGGTCCGTCTCGAACGACTGCAGCAGCCCATCGATGGCGGCGTTGCTCGCCGTGCGCCGCATCTTGGGCTTGAGCGCCTGCGCCGGGTCGTGGAAGCGCGCGAGGTTGTGTGCCTGCGCCGCCGACTCCTGCTGCTTCATGCCCGCCTCGGCGCGCTCGCGCGCCGCCGAGAGCGAGTACGGCGTGACGCCCGACGTGTTGGAGAGGTTGCGCCGGTGCTTGCGCGCGCTGCCCGGTGCGGGCGATGCTGCGGCGGTGCTGCCGCTGGCCAGCGGCGAGGTCGGCGTGATCGAGGGCGCGTCCGACGGCTGGCTCTGGCTGCGGCGCATCTCGCTCGACGAGGCAGAGGCGCGCTTCTCGCTCGCGCGGCTCGAGCCCTCGCCGGCGTTGGCCTGCTGGCGCGTGACGTCCTCGTCGTCGACGCCCAGCGCCTTGGCGGCGAGCTTGGCCGGCGCGTTGGCCGTCTTGGCCACGCCCTGCTTGAGGCGCCCCTCGAACTCGGACCAGTCGTCGTCGCTGCGCTCGTCGGCGGCGTTGCCGTCCATTGTGCTCGAGCCCTGGCCCATCGTCTCGGTGTCCGAGTCGGCGCCCTCGCGGTCGCCCGGCCCGGGTGTCCGGCCGGTGCGCGGCTCGACGCGCTCGCCCTTTTCGTTTTGCATGCCGGCGCGCATCTCGGCGTCGACGTCCTTGCGACTGCCCTCGCGCTGCTCGGCCTTGCGGCGGCCGCGCTTGTCGAGTGCGGTGCGCACAAAGTGCCGTGCGGACTGCAGCGCCTTGCGCGAGGCGTCGAGGAAGAGGAATGCCTGGAACACGTGCACGCAGTCCTCGTACAGCTCGTGGCGCACGGCGACGCCCGAGAGCGACGCCTTGTGTGCGAGCAGCGTGCACTCGTCGCGCAGCACCTCGGCGTCGCCGCACTGGATGAGCAGCGGCGGCAGGCCGTGCATGTCGCCGAAGAGCGCTGGGCAGGGGTCAGTAATGCGGACACAGCAAGCTGGCGCATGACTCACGGCTCGCGTACGGATGCGTGATGTACTTGTCGATGTTGTCGCCGAGATACGCGCGCACCGGGTCCATGTGGTTGCCACTGGTCATCTGCGGCAGATAGTCGAACTCGGCATTCGTCTCCCACGAGTCGCACGACATGGTCAGGTCGACCCAGGGCTGCGCGAGGCATCAGCATGTGGTCACGACGCGACGCGATGCAACTCACGCTGAACAGAATCGCGCCGGCGGGCAGGTCGTACTTGTTGTCGCGCAGGTAGTACATCAGCGCCAGCGCCAGGCCGCCGCCGGCCGAGTCGGCACCGAGCACGATGTTGCCCGGTGGGATGCCGAGGTCGTCGACGAGGCGGAACCAGGACGAGACGACGTCGTGCAGCGGGCCCGGGAACTGGCAGCCGGGCGCCAGGCGGTAGTTGATGCCAAACACGCGGCACTCGGTGTACTTGGACAGCGAGATCGTCACCGGCCGGTGCGTCACGGCCGACATGATAAAGTACGCGCCGCCGTGGATGTAGAGAATGACGCGCTCCTTGTCGCGGCTCTTGCCCGTGCGCCACTCGGCCTGCAGGCGGCGCCACGTCTGCTTGCCGACGACCCACTCGCCCGTCAGCTCGCGCTTGCCGTCCTCGGCCGCGTCGGCCTCGGCGAGCAGGCCGCGCAGGCCGCGCTTCTTGACGCGGAACGTCACGGGCGTGATGAGGCCGTCCTTGGGCACGGGCAGGAAGTTGCTGATCTCAAAGAAGTTCTGCAGGCCCGAGATCGTGGCAAACTCCGAGTAGCGCGCCGTCTCGCGGATGATGCGCGTGAAGATCGTCATCTCGAGGCCCCAGCTCTTCTTCAGCGGCCCGTACATGGCGTGCGAGGCGATTGCGCTGCCAATCGAGATGCCCTGGTTGAAGAGAAAGGGCACGTAGCGCCACGCCTTGGACAGGCTCATGCCCTCGGGCTGCGTGAGCGGCGCGTGCGGGTCGACGCGCGCCGACGACGGCAGCGCGCTCGACTTGTACTGGTCGAGCAGCGCGTCGAGCGTCGACTCCTTGGTCGGCGCGGCGCTGGCCTGCTTGGCGGCACTGCTGCGGCCCGATGGCTTGAGGGTCGTGTCGGACAGGCCCGATGCGGACCGCGCAGGACTGTCCGGCGCGCCGCCCTGCTTGCCAGCCTCTGCGTCCTCCACTGGCCGGCCCAGCGAGTTGCCGGCCGGGTTCTCGCCGTGAGACGTGGCCTCGGCAGCGGCTGCGGCAGCACTCGTGCCGCCGCCGCCGCTGCCGCGCGTCGGTGCTGTGCCACCCATGATGCACAGCTCGACGTCCATGCGCGACGGCGCGCGCTGCCCGTGACTGCGCTTCTCGTCCAGCAGCGACGAGTCGCGCGACGGCTCGGGCGTCAGCGTCTTTGACGACGCCTTGTCGATGAGCATCTGCGCGTCGCGCGCCTGCTCCGCCGTCGCGTGCGGGTTGACGACGGCCTGGCCCTCGGTGTTGATGTCGATGGCAGTGGCGACGCGCAGCAGGCTGTGCAGCTTCTCGGGATGCATGTCCGGGTGCGAGTGCTGCTGCCGCAGCGTGTGCAGCTTGCGCAGGTACGCCACCGTCTCGACGGCCGTGACGGCGCGGCCGAACTTCTGCTTCGACGTCGAGTGCCGCTTGGCGACCTCCTTGAGGCAGGCGCCGCGGTGCTCGTCGGGCGTGTCGTGCGAAATCGTAGGCAGGTTGCTGAGCCACGGATGTTGCAGCGCCTGCGCGGCCGTGAGGCGCTGCTCGGCGGGGCAGAGGCAGCGCAGGATGAAGTCCCTGGCGCCCTGCGAGATGTCGCTCCAGTACTGCTCTTCGAACTCGACGTGCATGCCGATGATCTGCTGGAACAGCGACGGCTGGTCCTCGCCGTAGAAAGGCGTGTAGCCGGCGAGCAGGCAGTAGGCAATGACGCCGGCGCTCCAAATGTCGACCGGCGGGCCGTAGCCCTTGCCGAGCAGCACCTCCTACGAGCGGGGTCAGCGCGGCGAGTCTGCGGTGCGGCGTCGACACTCACGGGCGCAACGTATTGCGGGCTTCCGCAGGCCGTCATCAGCAGGCCCTCGTCGGGAATGAAACGCGACAGGCCAAAGTCGGAGATGACAATCTGCACGGCCGAGGTCAGCGCGATCAGAGGATACGCAGCGGCCAGCACCCACGTCAGACGGCTCGCCGGCGTCGCGCAGCAGGATGTTCTCGGGCTTGAGGTCGCGGTGGATGATGTCGTGGGCGTGCAGGTACGCCACGCCCTGGAATATTTGCCGTACAATGTGCCGTGCGTCGAGCTCGTTGTAGTGCACCTTCTCGACCTGGAGGGAGGGGCTGTCAGTGCGGCCAGCGGCGGGCGGCCTTGCAGCACGCACCAGCCGGTCGAAGAGCTCGCCGCCGCGGCAGAGATCCGTCACGATGAAGACTCCCTGCGACGGCCTCGTCAGTGCCGGACATGCAGGAGCCTAGCAACGTCACGCACCTCCTTCGTCTCGTAGAGGTCCCACATCTTGATGCTGCAGCAGGTCTCAGCTCCGCACGCGGGCACCTACGACCACTGCGACTCACACGTGCGCCTCCTCCACCTTGCCCAGGATGGCAATCTCCTCCTCGAGCATCTTCTCGTTGCTGTCCTTCAACGGGCGCTTGGCGATGATCTTGAGCGCGCGCTCTGTGCCCGTGGCGCGCTCGACGCACGCCTTGACGACGGCAAAGCTGCCCTGGCCCAGCACGCGCGGCAGCACCGTGTACTTCTTTGACAGCGCTGCAGGCAGCAGCGGCGTGCCATCTTCCTCAGTCTGAACAGCACTGTTAGCGCTGCGCAGCGACTACATGCCAGCGCCCACTCACATCCTTGAACCAGCTGCGGAATGCGCTGTGCAGGTTGTGGCCGACCATGTTGAGGCGGTCGCGCGTGCGCGGCGTGCGCGGCGGCTTGAAGCGCGGCGACGGCGGCTGCGAGGAGGCGGGCGTCCGGGTGGAAGGCGAGCACGGCGCAGACGGCCCAGCAGCAGCGGCAGCGACGACGAGCAGCGGACGCCGGAGCTGCGAGAGGCGTGCGGCGAGACGCGACGAGCTGGACGCGCCGGCGAGCGGCGAGGAGTCGGGCATGGGTCAGCGTGGGGCGTGCGTGGTGGTGGTAGCGGTGGGGTTGACACGCGTCGGTGCGCGATCGTCTCTCGTAACCATCCGGCCCCTGAGGTGCCGCGGTGGGAGCACTTTGTGCGAGAAGCACACGCCGCAGGGTGCGTACCGCCAATCAGCGCGCCCAGTCGCGTCACAGCGCTGGCCAGCCGAGGAGCAAGCTCGCCGGGAGCGAGGTGATCATGGCAGGCTGAGCACCGCAGTGGCCGCTACGGTGCGGCTGCGGCGGTGCAAGCCGCGCAGCCATGTTCTGGCCCGAGGCGGTGCAGCGAGGCAGAGGCGTGGCACGGCGACTCACCTGAGCACGCGCTGTGAAGAACGGAAGGGCGCGCTGCGAGAGCGGCGGCGCAGAGTCTACGTGTGACGGCCGCGAGTGTGTGCCGAGTGCTGTTGCAGGTGGTGGTGTGAAGCTGGCCGAGGAGGCGGAGCGGTGCGGGGAAGCTGGTGCTGGAGCGGGCCAGCAGGCGCGCCGGCGTCGTCAGCAGCGCGGCGCTGGCGCGTGGCTTGGGCATGCCGCGGCGCGTGCGCCGTGCCGATCATCACGGCGCGGCGAGGGCGAGGCGCGAGGGTCCGCCGCCAGCTCAACCGCACCCCGCCTCCTCGGCCCCCCTCGCCGCCGTTGCGCGCCGCTGTTCCCGCGTTCCCCGCACTCGCACGCCGCAGCAAAGCTCGGCAGCGGGCGCAGCGGGTGCCGCCATCGCCAGAGCCGCGCGCCCGCGGCATTCGTCGGGGTGCGCCGCTAGATGCGTGTTGCGACGCGGCCGCGGGGGCGGCAGCCTCCTCCACACGCCTCGCTTGCCCGCGCTGGCGTGAAAGGGCGCGGCGAGATGCGCTGGCTGCTGTTCCCACGCTGCTCCGCCGGATCAAGCGTCAGCGAGGCGGCTGCGCTGCTTCGACTTGCCTCGCCTCCACGCTCCTCACCGCACCGCATCGCATCGCCCCATCCACTCCACGGCTCGCTGGGCGCGGCGTGCCAGCAGCACTGCGCACGGCGCCGCACTGGCACCCATGGCACAGCAGCCGGCCGCCACGGCGCCCGCCGCCGGCTCCACGTCGCCACGCAGGCCGCCGCCGCCGGCCGCCGACGAGGCCGACTGCTGCCTCATCTGCCTGCAGGCGCTGCCGCCGATTCCAGGCACGCATGCGCCGACGCTGCACCGCCGCAGCAGCCCGACGGCGCCGGCGTCGCTCGACCGTGTCGTGCTGCCGGCCTGCTCGCACGCCCTCTTCTGCCTGCCGTGCATCGTGACGTGGCGCGACGTCAGCGCTCGTGTGAGTGGCAGCAGGCGGCGGCTCGGCAGCGCAGTGGAGTGGCGACGGCGACTTCTGGCGAGACGCTGTAGAGGGCGCGGGCCCGGGGCTTGCGCACAGTCTGGCACCTGGCGGCGAGCTGAGCACGGCCCGCCGCGGCTGGCCGGCGCCTGGCATGCGCCCTAGGTGGCCTCTTGCTGACTCTCGCTGGTGGACACAGTGTCCGCTGTGCTCTGTTCCGCTGGGGCCGTATGTGCTGCACAACCTGCATGCTACGCCGTCGGGCAGCCGCTATGCCTTTGCTGCACCACCCGCACCGGCGCATGCTGGGCTGTCGGGGGCGCCGCTCTTGCCGCCGCGCCGTCCGCGCTTCGGCGCTCCGGTGCCGCGTCGCAGCGTTGAGGAGGCCTGGGACCTGCAGGTGCGGGAGCGGCGCAGCGCGTACGTCGACGATCGCTGGGCGCTGGTGAGTGGCTCCAGCGCGCAGCATGATGTGCTGCCGGCTGACCGCGGACCACAGCACGTCGGCTCGAATCGCGCGAGCGGCTACTCTGCCACGGCGTCGCCGAGTGCCATTGCGCAAAGCAGTGCAGCGCAGGCACGCCTCTCCGCCTTTCTGCACCGCGAGCTCTATGCGCTGCCGCTCGGCGGCGGCACTGCGACGGGCCTCGATGTGCCCTTCCTGCGGGCCTACATTGCCGCACTCGCACGCACCGTCTCGCTGCGCTCCGACGAGGCTGTGCGTCTGCTGCATGCCTTTCTGCAGCCGCACACCGAGCACTTTCTGCACGAGCTCGACTGCTACATGCGCAGCAACCGCGGCCTGCGCGAGTGGGACCGCAGCGTAAGCTACCTGCCGCTCGGCTCGCCAGCGCCTGGCAACAAGCGGCGCCGCTCGCGCGAAGCGCCAGCGCGTCGGACACGGCGTCAAGTAGACGCGTGCACGCCAGCGAGTGCAGCTGTAGCTCCCACAGCGGCGGTTGGGCTGTCGGCATCTGAGCAAGAGCCTCCGTCTGCTGCGCCACCGCCAGCGGTCGTCACTGCTCTTGCGGATGCGCCAGCTGCTGTGCAAGCGCCGCCCACGCGAGCGCAGATCGCGCTGCAGCGAGCGGCCCTTCTCCAAAGGCTCGACGTCGAGCGTGCTGCCCTAGCAGAGCGTGCTGCAGAGTCCAAGGGTCCGTCGGTGGCGTCTTTGCCCGAAGGACAGCCTGCGCAGAGCAGCGAGGAGTCGGAGGCACGTCTGCGCGCTCTGGCTCGCGAGGCAAGACTGCGGCTCATGCTCCGTCGAAGCAGGCCCGGAGGACTCGGTGCGACCTGACCTGAATAGCCTCGACCACTCCCGCAGCGCCACGCTTCCCTGTATTACTAGATTAGATTGCACACGTCACGCGTCACCCCGGCAGATGGCTGACGACAAAGGCGTCGAGGTCTGTGCGCATCTCCTCGACGGTGAGCAGCTCGAGCGTCTTGTTGAGACGCGTCAGCTGCTCCTTCTCCCAGTCGGCGAGCAGCGTCGCGGCGTCCATCTTGACGTCGCTGCGCTCCGTCTTGCGCAGCAGCGCCTCCTGTCGCCGCGCCTCTTCGCGCCGCCGCTGCGCCAGGCGCGCTTGCGTCTTGTACAGGTGGTCGAGCAGCCAGGCGCGCGACTTGGCCTCGTCGACGTACCACAGGAAGAACATGCGCTGCGGGTTCGAGCGGTCGGCCGACTTGGGCACCTCCTGCATCGAGATGAGCGAGGCGGCAAAGAGACGCGCGCAGACGTCGCGCGTGTCGTTGACCGAGAGCAGCGCCACCTTTGCGATCTGCGCGTGGTGTCAGTCAGAGAACACGAGATGCTGCTGTGTGGCTACGCACGTGCTTCTCCTCCAGCTTGCCCATAGTCATGAGGATGCTCATGATGCGCGTGGCTGCGGAGCTGAACTGGTTCTCGACGACGTTGCGCAGCAGCGCCCGCTTGAGGCTGCGTGCGATGTTGGCGTACTCGATGGTGAACGTCTGCGGCGCACGCGAGCCGCCGGCGCTGATCGTCGTGCCGCTGCCGACGGGGGCGAGGAAGCGCGTGGACTGTGCCTCGGGCGACACGTTGTCCACCGCAGACAGGACGCCGGCGTACTCGGCCAGCAGCTCGAAGCGCGAGGGCCCCGAGCCTGATGAGCCCGACGAGCGCAGGTAGTCCTTGTCGAAGCCTTTTGACAGCGAGATGGAGCCCAGATGGGTGCTCAGCAGGGTGTTGGATACGATGCCTGCGACGATGGTCAGCGAGAAACATGCACAGCTCGCGCATCATGCCTCACCTGACGTCTCGTTGCGGGCGCTAGGCCGTTCCGAGCGCGCCTCGCCCGCAGAGACCATGAGGCGCAGCACGTCGGCAAAGTTCTTGTTGTACTTGCCCTCGACGGCCTTGTAAATGACCTGTGCACGGAGTCAGTGTGCGCTGATGCGCGGCACGACGCTGCACGCACCTCGTCGCGAATGTGCACGTCGAAGCGGTCGTAGTGGACCAGCAGGAAGACGTTTGGCTGGGAGAAGGAGTGAGCGCTGCTCCGAGCGACGGGCCCGGCAGACTTACATCGATCTCGAGTCCTTCCAGGACCTCGTCGTCCTCGGCACCCGCCAGCGAGACAGGCGCCTCCTTGGCCTTGCCATTCTCACCCTTTTGCTTCTTGGACGACGCAGCAGCGGCGCCCTTTTTCTTGGAGCCCTGCTTGGCCGCCTTGCGTTTCTGCGGCAGAGCCCGGGTCAGGGGAATAGCTTGCGCAGCCAGCAACGTTACGCACCAACAGGCCAAGCCGGCCGCTGCCGCCCTGCAGCACGCCGCCGGCGTCCATGGTGCCGCCCTCCCACTGCGCGCGCTCCTCGTCGGCCAGCGTCAGCGCGACGCGCTCCTTGATCTCCTTGAGCTGCTTGGGCGTCTTGATGTTTCGGTCGCCCTTGACCTCGTTGAGCTCGTACGAGATTTCCTTGTCGCGCGGGTTGCTCGTCTGGCTCACGACCGACGGCCGCAGGTAGGCCTTGTAGAGCAGCGTGCGTAGCAATTGCGCGACCGACGCAGAGCCTGTGGGCTGCGCGTCAGGCAGCAGGTCGATCGCTCGCGCACGCGACACTCACGCTTCGCATCGCCATCGCCCAGCCGCTCGATCACGTCGCTGGCCTGCAGACGGCCGTTCTGCAGGATCAGGCGGACCACGTCGCGCGCCTCACTGCCGCCGACAGCCTCGGCGATGTCGACGTAGCGGCCAAGGCGTACCCGCGGCAGGATCGCGTCGGCATTCATCTCGAACCACTCGGTACCTGCCCCGGCGTCGTCGTCGTTGTCGTCGTCGAGGATCATGCCGTCGGCGTCGAGGCGCACGTGCCAGCAAAGACCGTGCTGCACGAGGATGAGCAGCGTCTGCTGCACGAGACGCCGACTCTTCAGCGGCGACGCTGCGGCCGAGGCGGCGGCCGCCACTGCAGCGGCAGCAGCAGACGCAGCAATGTCCACCGAGCCCGAGCCGGCCGAGATCTTGTCGCTGGCAGACAGGCCGGCGGCGGCGGCGGCGCTCGACGTGGCGAGGAAGCGCATGAGCTCGCGCAGCGAGAGGCGGCCGCGCTGCAGCAGCACCGAGGCGACGCGCTGAGGCAGAGCCAGTGTCAGCAAGACGCAAATGAGCGCAACGGCTGCGGCGGATGCGAGGGATGCGCAAACACGGCCGAGCATGTTTAGCACGGCGCGCCCAGCCCCTGCTTCGCCTGCAGCAACGCCAGTCCGAGCAGGGGACGATACATCCCAGCCATCCGCAGTATGGACTCCATGACAGCGCCCGCATCTACACCACTCCAAGCGCTCCGTGCTTCTTCGCCGACTCACCGCCGCGGTGGGCCCGAAGTGGTCGAGCACGATGCTGTGGCAGAGGCGCAGCTTCTCGCGGCTGTGCGCCGCAGCGCCTCGGCGCGGCACGGGCGCAGCGGCGGCGGCGGCGGACATGGCGCCGTGCGGCTCGGTGAGCGGCGAGCGAGGCGCGGGTGCGAGGTGCAGCGACGAGCAGCGAGGAGGGGCGTGATGGAGGAGAGGCAGGCCAGACAACGCGCCTCCACGAGGAAGCACGCGAAGCAGCAAGCAAGCGTAACGCGCCGCGCCGAAATATCGTCGGCGCATGCCGGCCGAGATCGCCGCGCTGCCCACGCCACAACGCCAAGCCTGCTGCCTCGCAGCATGCAGCAAACAGCCTGACTGCCGTGATCAGCAATGCCATCGCATGCTGGAGTAGACCGGCTGAGGAGCGCCACATATGCCGGGTGAGCGCTTGCCTGGCGTGGCGCTCGCTGCTGCGATGCTGCCGAGGGCGAGCGGATGCGGCGCGGCGGCGTGCGTACCCCGCCGGCGCGCGCTGCTCCCACGCGATGCGCCGTCAGGGTGCAGCCGCGATAAGGCTCCGCCGGCGGAGCATGGCACTGCGCTCCATCTGTGCGGCGAGCGAGGCCATCAGAGGTGCTGAAACTGCGATGTGGCAGCTGCTTGTGCGATGGCTGTCGAGCCGGAGGCAGGTGGCGCCGCAGAGGTGCGCGAATGCTGAGGCGGCGGCGTGTGTGGCCATCGGATCAGCACGCGACCGGCCAGGGGCGATGCGGTGATGCAGATGGCGGCGCGCGGCTGCTGCGCTGCCTGCGTGCCGCGCTGCGGGGGCCAAGCACGGCGCTTGTGTGGAGTGCTGCGCGTGTCTCGTGCTGCGCCCGCCTCGCCCTCTCACCACCACCTCGCCCGCCGGCACACCCGCTCTCACACCCGCTCCACTCGCACACCTCAGGCGCACGCCGCCATGGCTGCGCAGCCGCCGCGCCGCAGTGCCGCCAGCGCCAGCGCAAGCACGAGCACCAGCGCCGCCGCCAGCCTCGCCGGCAGCAGCGCCCTCGCCGCCCTCGCCGCCACGCGCGCCGACCCCTACGCCCGCACCGGCCACGGCCGCGAGGGCTTCCTCGCCGCCGCACACGCACGCAGCGGCAGCAGCGGCAGCGCCGTCTCGTCGCCCGCCGCGTCCGACGGCCTGCCCTCGCCCTCGGCCTCGCTGCGCGCGCCGCCGGGCGCCGCGTCGCTGATGGGCGCCAGCCGCTACGGCCTCGCCTCGGCGCGCGGCCGCGAGCGCAGCAGCCGCCCGCACGCGCGCGACGCGCCCGGTGCCATCGGCGAGATGGCCGACGAGGACGACGACGAGGCCGACGACGACGGCGACCTCTGGCGCCACGACCGCCGCGCCGCCGGCCTGCTGGCGCCCGACGACGGCGACGCCACGCCCGCCGCGTCGCGCATCGGCGGCTTCCGTGCCGTCGACGAGGAGGACCCGTTCGTCGGGCACGCCAGCGTCGACGATGCGCGCGCTGTGCCGCCGCCGCACGCCGCACGCACCACGCCCAGCGCGCCCGGGCGCGCCGCCTACGCGCAGGGCTGGCTGGCGCACGCCGCCTCGTCGACCACCGGCAGCTCGAGCGGCGACGACGAGGCGCGGCCGCCGTCTGCCGCACGCACTCCGCGCTCGGCAGCGCAGCGTCAGGCAGCGGCACTCGCTGCGGCGCCCGCCGACGGCGACATCTTTCGGCGGCCGTCGGACTCGGATGACGACCAGCCGCCGCGCCAGGCCTCGCGTCCGCGCGCCTATGCCTCGTCTGTCTCGTCGCCCACCTCGTCGCGTTCGGCGTCGCCCGTCGGCGCCCGTTGCGCTGAGAATGAGACGCTCCTCTCTTCCGCCGAGGGCTCCACGCTGCCACTGCCGCCGGGTGCGTTCACCGGGCGCACAACCCGGCAGGGCATCGACGACGTCTATGCGTACCCGCACCCGCCGGCACACAGCGGCTGGACGCCGTGGGCGCCTGGCAACGCCGTCGCGTGGCGCGAGTGGAAGGACAAGGGCGCGCTGGCGGCGTGGGCACTCGTGCTGCTCGCTACGGTGCTCATCGGCGGTGTTGCAGCGCTCGGAGCACAGGTGCGTGGTGATGTGTGCGATGCGATGCGTGAGCTCACGTCTGTCTGCAGTCGCCTGGCCGGCCAGCCTCGCCGGCGGTGCGGCCGTCGCCGTACTGGACGCTGACGCGCTCGGTGCCGGTGCTCTTTATGCTCACGCTCATCTCGGTCGCCGCCGGCGCCGGCAACCTGCTGCTGCTGCGGCACATCTCGCGGCTGGGCGGCCGCACCGTGCTGCGCGCCAGCCTGCTTGTCACGCCCACGGCGCTGGCGCTCGGCTGGGCCTGGGCGTTCGCCGGCAGCTTCGTGTACGACGACGAGGCGTGGAGCGGCGGCGACTGGTCTACGACGGGGTGAGTCCGCTTTGAGCATTGACAGCTCATACCTTGCTCACGCGCTGTCACAGCCTCCGCGTGCTCTCGTTCCTGCCGCTCATCGGTGCTGCACTCTTCGTGCGCGCCGTCTGGGTCCGTCGCGCATCGTTGGCGCGCACTCTCGCTGTGCTGGAGCTGGCGGCTCGCATCATTGCGGCGCACCCTGCGCTGCTTATCCTCAGTCTCGCGCAGCTCGGCGTCTTTCTGCTGCTCTCCATTCCGCTTCTGTCGATCTTTGCGCGCCTCTTCCTCCTCGGCCACTTTGGCGTCAAGCACGGCGAGAGCCAGGAGTGGATCACCAACGCCGGCGCGCGCTGGCTGGCGTGGGCCACGCTCGGCGCGTGGCTGTGGACGTGGAGCGCCATGCGCGGCGTGCTGCGGGTGACCGTCGCCGGCACCGTGTCGCACTGGTTTTTCCACGGCGACGGCTCGAAGCGGGCCGCCGAGGCGCGCTCCACGGCCGTCGACTCGGAGTACGAGGCGGGTGAGGACTCGCTGCCGGGGCCCGCGCCGGGCGACTGGCTCGGCACGCAGGACCCGTCGCCGCTCGAGCCGACGCAGCTCGAGATTGTGCGTGCGTCCTTCTCGCGCGCGACGGGCCCGGCGCTCGGCACTATCTGCGCCGCGGCGCTGGCGCTCGCCATCGCCCGTGTGGGCATGCTCATTGCGGGCCTCGCACGCCGCACAAGCCGAGCGATCTCACACCCGCGCACGCCCGACTTTTTGCAGCCGCTTGCTGCCGGCGCTGCGCTGCTGGCAGGCCTCAGCGCCGTGCTCAGCGGCATCTCGGACTTTGCGCTGATCTACGTCGGCGTCACGGGCGAGGGCTTCGCCGCTGCAACACGCCGCTCGGCACGCCTAGTGCGTGGCCGTGCGGTCAAGAGCGTCATGGACGGTAAGTGCGGGCCTGACGTGCGCTCGAGCGCCTGCTGACGCCCCGGCAGGCCTCATCATCCACCTCCTGCTCGACCTCATGACGCTCGCCCTGTCGTTCCTCGCGGGCGTGGCCGGCTTTCTCTTCAGCGCCCACAACCTGCATGTGCCTGCCGACGCGCCGCTCGTCGGTCTGCTTTGCGCGCTCGTGCCGTACTGGACGCTGCGGCTGTGCAGCGATGTGCTCGGCAATGCGTGAGTGCCGGCGGCAGCTGCACGCCGCCCTGGCTGATGCCCTTTTTCCCGCAGCGCCGATACGCTCTTTCTCTGCTACTCCATCGACGAGGCGGGCGGCGAGGAGCACTGCAAGGAGGCTGCCGACGCCGTGAGTCCGCCCGGCGAGCATGACCCGCACCCAGCTCATCCTTCTGCGCAGTTCAAGAATGCCGACGAGACGCTCCCGTTCTGACGCGCCTCTGTCGATTCCCTGCTCCGGCCTGTCTGTCCCAATCTATACCTTGCGCATCGAGTCGCCTGCAGACGTGTTGGATCGACTGCTTTTATTCCGGAGCGGCGCGGGTGTGCCGCGAGGCGGTGCCGAGGCCGTTCCGATTGAGAGCAGGCAGCATGCGCCGGCCTGCGAGGTGATGCGCGCATCTACGAGGCGTTCATGATGGCGTTCTGCGGGAAGCGTGTCAGTTGCGCGACGCAGTGCAGGCTCAGCTCTGCAGCTCACGATGACTGCAGGCGCAAGAGGTCAGCACGCGCAGGGCCACCGCCAGCACGCTCCACTCACGGTCGCCGTTGGTCTCCTTGAGCGCCTTGACGGCCTTGCGGCGCGAGCACGACACCTGCTGCATGACCAGGTCGATGTCCTTGGCGTCGACGCCCGTCTCGTCGATCTCGCCGTCGCTCTCTTCCTCCTTCTCCTCCTTCTCCTTGCCGGCACCGGCGCTCTGCGCCTGGCTCGCGGCGAAGCTGTCGGCGAGCAGCTTGTCCTGCTGCGCCTCCTGCTGCGCGATCTGCGCGGCCTGCGCCTGCTGCGCGGCCATGCTCTGGTCCTCCGACTTGGCCTCGCCAAAGACGATGTACACGTCGGCCGAGGCGGACTTGTACACCTCGGGCGTCGAGATCACGTAGAGGTGCTGCGAGAGGGTGAGTGGGCGGGCGACAGGACCGGCCGCTCCGGCAGCGCACTCACGCCGCGGGGCCGGCGCATCGTCACGCGCGTGATGCCCTGCACCTTCTTGAGGCCGATGTTCTGCAGGCTCTTGCGCGCCTTGCGCTCCGGCTTGCTCGTGACGTGCTCGCCGATGGTGACGTCGCCGCCGGTGGCGCCGGACGCCTCGACGTCGGACTCGACCTGCAGCTGTGGGCAGGGCGCAGTGCGGCAGAGGGAGACACACACGTCAGCACAGCGGCGCACGCGCGCGCGGCAGCGCAGGCAGGCACGCACGTCCTGCACGTCGTCGGCGATCTCTTCGATGGAGGCAGACATGGCGGTGTGGGTGAGTGTGGTGGGGTGGGGTGACGGTCGGGACTGATGCTGGAGCGTGCGCGGCGTGTGCGGCGACGACGCAGGCAAGCGCCGCGGCGGGCCAAGCGGCGCACGGCGGAGCAGCCGCCGCCGCGTCTGCATCGGCACCGCACCGTCACATCAGCCCCGCCCCGCGCGCTGCCACATCGCTTGCACCTCGGCAGCACCTGTTCAGCGTTGGCTCCTTCACACACAGCCTGAGCACCAGCCGTTCAGCGCCTTGGCGGAGCCGTGAGGGGCAGGGCCTGTCGGGGGCTCGGCCGGGAGCGACGCTGCCGCTTCTTCGCGCACCTTCGCACGGCGCTGCGCTCGCGCGTGCGACTGCCGCGTTCCGTGCGCTGGGCGGCGGTCTCGTGAGCTGGGCGCGCAAAGCGCGGCGCTCCAGAATGTTCTGCAACTGGGGGCGGGGCTGGCGCACAGATCCAGCTGCCAAAGCATGCAATGCACTCACAAGCTTGAGAGGCCAGAGCTGCTTACCTCCCATCTTGGACTTGCAGTTAGCCAGGGCAGACTTTGCCTCAAGCACATGCTTGATCAGCAAACACGTCAGGATACAGCCTCTTCTGGCACTTGAGATGGTAGCAGTGCTGTTCAGTTTGTTCTTGACTGTCACTGCAGGGGTTGCCTGCCAGCTTGTTGGCCCTGATTGCATTGTCAAAGTGGACCCAGCAGCAGCACAGATACACAGCCTGCATCACATGCATGCTCTGGCTATTGCTGTATGCAGCCATGGTGTCTGCAAGGCCGGCATGCATAGGTACGCAGCTAAAGGCATTGCACCTAGCTGCCATCAGCATATAGCAGCTCTGCAGCAGCAGAAGCTGCGCTCACCTGCTCCAGAGCCACTGCAGCAGACCCCTCACCTTGTCTATCTGCTCATAGGACACGGGTTTATCACCCCTTGCCCTGATGCAATCCACAGTGCTGCTCCTGCTCAGGCACTTTGGGAAGAAAGAGTGGAGAGGATGAGCGCCTCTTCCCTCAACATAGCAACAGCACCAACGCAGGCAAGGCTGACTTGCAGTTGCTCTGGCTCATCAGCAGCGCCTCCATTACCACAACACAGCCAATGCTCAAGGACATGGCCGCCAAGGCGGCCAATGCGTGCTATGCCAAGCTGCTCAACCCAATTTGCCTTGGTGAGGAAGCCAAAGCTTGTCATGCCAAGCAACTGCCAAAGCCTGCACTTGTCCCTTGCCCCCACTCCACCCCCAATTGCCTTGGCATGCAGGCAGAAACTGCCTACAAGTGGGCTCTCACTCCAGCTTGTAACCTGCACAACATCAACAAGGCACATGACAAGTGCACAATGTTTGAGCTGGCAGGCGTGCCTGATGGACGCATTGATGCGTGAGTGCATGCATCCAGCAAAGCCAACAGCATTTCTCCCTTGCTTGGCTGCCACATCTGCGCCACCCCATCTGACCTATGTTACTGGCCTTGTATATGCATTTACATCAGCCTGAGCAGCATCCAGGAACTACACTGCTCTCATTTTGGCAAGCTGGCTGCCTGCTGAACAAAGAGCTGCTTGACACCACCACAAGCGTCACCAGCATTGCCAACAAAGTTCAGCTGGGTTGTGCCCTCTGAGCAGCAGCTACTCTTGTCACAGCATGCGGTAGGAGGCTGCAATCTCCCCCTTGGAGGCACAATACACACACACACAAACACAATAATTGCAAGGGGAGCCGGAGCAAAGCATGCCTATCAGCGCCTTGATATTGTTGGGCTGGTCTTTTATGACTCAACACATGCAAGGAGGCGTGTTGTTGACAGTGCTGGATGCAAGAGGTGCAACACCCAACAGGCACAAGGCATTGTAGATTATGCTGGCCAGGTGCCAGCGGCGCTGCAAGGTGCGCAGCAGATTTTGATTTGTGGTGCAGCAGCCTTGGCCAGACGCACTGCGCTGTGCTGACATGACAGGCTGTGTCATGCTTGCGCTGCGCCTGCTTGTTGCACAAGCTGCTTGCTCTTGAGTGCAAAGGCACATGTGTTCTCAAATAGGACATGCACCTTCTGGCCCTCCATCAGCATTTGATGAGCAAGCTCCTTCATCTTGGCTGCAACCTTGAATCAAGCAATCTTGGTCTCAAGTTGAGTGTTCTTGGTGTTCCTGAGAGAGAGGTGGCCGCAGAGCATCAGCAGTGCTTTTACATTGTGATCATCTTGGAAAACTCACCGCATGACCTTGGAGATGTGCACGCAAGAAGGTCTGGCTGGTCTGACTATTTGAGAGGTTGTCAGCAACAAATGATCTGTTTGAGCAGCACACTGTCCACAATGTGGCCAGTGCACCAAAGCCAGTCCTGCAGCTTATTGGACATCCTGCACAATCAACTTGTACCTGTTTGCATCACACCAGGGCTGTACTGTCAGCAGGGCTTGCATTGTTGGGCCATTGCCCAACTGCCTGGTGCAGCTACCAGCGCTGCCTGCATGAGCGCATTAGAGCAGCAGCAGCATGACTGGCCTGCTACTGAGCGGCACTAGGCTGCAGAGCCATTCTGCAGTGTGCGCACTTGAGCAGCATTGGCCATCCAACACGTTGTGGCAAGGGCCCAATGGTCTGTGCGTTGGGAGCCCTCAAGGTGTGATGCATTGCAAGCGGGTACAAGTTGGTGGTGCAGGACATCTACCCTACATGCATCTGTTATCTCAAGGCACTTGAGCGCCAGTATAGGAGGGGTTTCAGCATTCCAGCTTGGGGCAAGTAGAACAGACTGACTGAGCGCTGAGGGTTAGGGTTACGAGGGGTTAGGGTTAGGGTTAGGGTTAGGGTTAGGGTTAGGGTTAGGGTTAGGGTTAGGGTTAGGGTTAGGGTTAGGGTTAGGGTTAGGGTTAGGGTT